GCCACCGCCGCCGCCGCCACCACCGCCACCGCCGCCGCCGCCGCCGCCGCCGCCGCCGCCGACGACGAACACCGTGATCGCCCACTCGTGGAACCTGACCGAGCACAAGCCTCGAGAGCCGGTGGAGGCCGAGTCGGAGGTCGCCGGCAGTCCGGAGAGGGTGTCGCAGGCCGTCGAGCAGGAGACGCCGTCTCAGTACAAACAACCTCTGCTGGGTGCGTGCAGCGTGCCGAGCGAGGTGGTGCCGAAGCTACCGAGTCCGCGGCCTTCCCCGGTGCAGCCGCTGTACCAGAGGCTGCCGGTGTCACCGCAGTCGCAGATGGTGCCGTCGATGCGCCAAGCATCGCCGAAGACGCAGAACGTCGTGCCCTCGTCTTCCTCCAACGCGGCGACGAGGATACCGCCTCTGGTGGCGTCGCCGCGCGTCTCGCAGCCGCTCTCGCCGAACGGCCAGTGGTCGCGGAACCCGACTCTGAGCCCGCACGTGCCTAACGCGAGCGGCAAGCCGTCGCCGCCGACCGCCCGGATCGCCGTGTGCGTGCCGATCTCCGCGCAGAGGCTGGAGGCGCCGGTGCAGCAGGTCTATTCGACGGCGGCGACGCAGCAGCCGGTGATCCAACACGCCTCGGGCATGCTGGCGCCCGCCTCCGGCTACCCCCGCGGCGGCCTGCCGCCGTTGACTCTGAACATCCCCTCGCGACCCTTCATGCCGGTGTCCCCGCTGGCGCCCGGCATGCAGGTCAAGAGTTGCCGGGACTCCTCTCTGACCGGCAAGTCCGTGATAGAGACGCTGCTGCCGGTGAATCCGAAGGAGCCGCCGCAGCGGCTGGAGGAACCGTCGCCCGCCGTCATACCGGAGTCGACGAACAAGGCGTCCACCTCGCCGAAGGTCCCGTCGCCCAATCAACCGCCGACTTACATACCCGAGACCGCGAAGATCGAGATCAACGCCAGCACGTCCAGCCCGGTGTTCGGCAAGCCGGCCACCGACGGCTACATCGTGTCGTCCAGGAGCCAGAAGCAGATCCCAGTTTCCATCACGACGGACAGCAACCTGCTGTCGCCGCGGCAGAAGCAGGAACCGTCGAACCTTCAGCTGCTGACCACGCACGTGCCCCGCTCCTCCACACCCAGCCCCGTGATCGTCGCTCACGGCCAGTCGCACCTGTGCCACAAGCCCGTGCACGCTCTGGGCCCGGCGAACGTCTCCGCGGCGAACCAACCGTTGATCAAGACCGTCGTGCCGATCGTCTCGCAGCAGCAGATCGCGCCCAGCGAGAAGTGCGTGATCTCGCAAACGCCCCTCCCGAGGCCGCCGCCGGTCAAGTCCACCGTGTCGCAGACGATCATAGCGAGGGTGGTGCCGTCGATATCCACCGTGCCGACGGGCAACGAACAAGCGACCCCCGAATGCCTGGAGTCGCGGATGGCCCAACAGCTGGAGGTGGACGCGCAGATCGGCCAGACGGCCCAGCCGATGCAGCTGACGCCGCCGGTGCAATCGACCCGGCCGATCGACGAGATCAAGCAGGAGCCGGCCGACGTCAAGGAGGAGATGGACGACCAGAGCAGCAAGTACAACCTGGAGTTGGAGAAGCCGCGGCCGGAGGACGTGAAGCCGAAGCAGGAGATCGTGAAGAGCGAGATCGTCGTCGCGCCTTGCGTCCTACCCAAGTGCGAGGTCGCCGAGGCCGTTGCGCCGAAGCTCGAGGTGAAAGTGGAACCCAAGGAGGAGGACACCGTGAAGAAGGAGAACGACGAGGCGGAACTGGACGAGGAGTCGGCGGAGGATCCGCTGAAGGAGCCGGCGGACCCCCTGGCGATCGACTCGAAGGAGGACGCGACCGACAGCAAGGAGGACAGCGACTACTGGTCCGCGAAGGAGGTGAACATCGAGAGCGTGATCAAGAAGGTCGACGCCCTGTGCGACGGCGAAGGCAACGACGAGGAGCAGCAGCGGGCGGAGAACGCCGGCAAGAACGAGTCGGACTGGTTCGACCCCCCCGAGGCCGCTGAGAACGAGAGCAAGAAGGGCTTCGCGGACGACCACGACGAGGGCGTGGAGACCTGCGAGAACGAGTCGACGCGCAGTCGGCGCGGCCGGGCGAAGAGCAGACGCGGCTGCCGCGGCGGCGGGGTCACCACCAGGCGGGGCGGCAGGAACGCCGCCGTCTCCCACAGGCGCGGGGGCAGGAGCCCGAGAGGCAGCAAGCATCACGTCGAGAAGAACAAGCTGCCGGCGGACGTGTACGAGTTCCACGACGACAGCGAGGAGGACAACGCCGGCCGGCCTCGGCTGATCCTCACCATCAAGTCACCCGGGCCGAACGTCAGCGGGCCCAACGCCCAGCCGGCGACTCCGGTCGCCGCCGTGAAGGAGGTGCCGCCGGAGGAGTTCGTCTCCCCGGCCGCCAACACGAGGAAGTCGAGGAGACTGGCGGAGCGGGACGGCAGTCGGAACACGGTGGACGACGTGATCGAGGACGTGGTCCGTGGCTCGCCCGTGAACAAGGCCCTGGCCGGCAACGTGGTTCACGCCACCCGGAGGAGCGCGCGGCACAACAACTCGCCGCGCAACGCGCAAGCGGCCCAGCAGCCGGCGGTGATGGAGTTGCGCAAGTCGCCGAGGAGCGGCCGAAAAGCGACGAGACGAGCGTCGGAGAACAACGACGACAGCGGGGAGGAGAAGTCGCCGAAGGAAGCGGCGGTCACGCCGGCACCGACGACGACGGCGACGACGACGACGACGACGGTGGTGACGGCGACGCCGCCAGCACCGCCGCCGCCGCCGCCTCCTCCTCGCGAGGAGACCCCGAGCAAGGAGGAGACGAAATTGGTCGAGCCGGAGAGCCCGAAGGCGGAAGAACCAGCCCCGATAGTCGCCCCGCCGCCGAAGAGGGTCTCGCTCGAGCCGATGACGCTGATCGACCCGGTCACGGGTGACCTCATACCCATGAGGGAGTCCGAGGAAGGTCAGTACATCCCGGTGTCCGCGACGTCCGGGCAGGGAGCGCAGACCGCCGGTAGAACGCAAGCTGAGCCACGGAACAACAGCGGGGCAGCGGTCGGCGCGAGCCACGAGACGCCGCGAGCGAAAGCCGCGGAGAGCGCGGCGTTGCTCGCGCCACCGGAGCCGAAGAAGGAGGTCGCCGCGGAGCACGCGGCTTGTCAGCCCGCGGCGGCGCCGATCCAACAGCAGAAGCATCCGATACAGGTCCAACCGCAAACCAGCGTGATCACGAAACCGCAGTCGCCCACGGTCACCCCCACCATCACCGTAGCGCAGTCCCCGGCGTGCACGAGCATCGGCACCGTGGTGACCGCGGCGACCATCACGGCGGCGCCAACGGTGCTCACGTGCACCTCGCAGGCGAAGCCCACGAGCTTCAAGGCGCACATGTTGAACGCCAGCAAGCTGGTGACTCAGCAGCAGCAGGTGGTAGTGGCGAAACCGGTCGCCCCGATCGTGCCCAGCCAAACGATAGTGCAGAACATGGTGAAGCCGGCGATACAGCAGGGTCTGAATCTGCAGATCCCACCCGGCAGAGTGGTGTCGCCCAGCCTGAGCCCGCGTGCCAAACAGACGGCGCAACAGTTGGCGGCGAACGGCAAGCAGGGTCAGCCCATGTCCCCGGTGCTCAACAACACCGGTGCGCCGCCGAATCCCAAGCAACACCTGCTGCAAGCGGCCGCGAAGCAGCAGACCTCCACGATAGTCAACATGCCGCAGAAGTTGCTGCACTCGGTCAGCGTGAACCTCGTCAGTCCGGCGCCGAGGATCCATCAACCGGTCTCGCAGGCCACCACTCTCAAGGGCATCAACGGGCAGCCCCATCCGCTCAACCCGAAGACGCACTTGCTGCAGGCCGTGGTGCCGACGATGGTCACGGGGACGGTAGCGACCGGCTCCGTCGCGCAACCTCATCTTGTGAACCCGATCTCGGCCGGCGTCGGCTGCGGCCGGCCTTCGGGAACGCCGAAACCCGTACGTCCGAAATTACATTTAGACTTAGCTTCTTGTTCGGTGATATGGAGGAAAGAGCCGGAAATGCCATGCGGAGCAAAGACCGGCGGGTCGATTGCGCGTCTCGAAATGGAGGGAGAATTATGAGAGCGAGTCAATTCACCGGATGTTCACCGATGGGAGTATAAGTGTTCTAGTGAATTCGCTCATTTTTCACGTTCTCGATATTCGAGATACACGGTCGATCCCCAGGATAACGATCACGTAACTTTTACCACTGAGGTAATGGGAGTTAATGAAAAGTGAAATGTTTCCGAATTAGAAAATTTACGGCATTTCACGAGCTCACGCTGAATAAGATTCATGACCAACCCCCCCAGGAGATCAGGAATCTTCTCCTCTGGCGTGATCTCGTGAAAAGTGCAAAATCCCTAATTTAAAAGCATTTCGCTCTTCACCTTTCCGCCCTGAGGAAAAATCGTATGATCGATACACAGGCCGAGGCAGTGTTTTTCTCGCGACATCGTGTTAGAATTATCATTGTTCGTTAACGTATTTAGCAGTATGGTAGAAAGGGTTATCAAGGGATTTTAAATTGTAACAATATTGTCGAGAAATAAGAATCGGTTCATTCGTAGAAGACGGTTGCCCGCGTCTTCGTTTTTGACAACGTTTTTCGACACGTACACAATACGTGATGGACAGTTTCATCCTACCACGGTTAATGTTGACAATCAACGTATCAACACTGACAATATTAATATTTAAAATGACAAATCACTTGTGCTTCGCTCCCCATGGTCTTTCCAATTATTTCCCGTACGTCCGAATTTTCCCCCACGGATCGGAAGACTCCTGTGACGCTGGGCTTTTTTTACGTTCAAGCGTCGAGAACGGACTAACTTGTATCGATGCATTTGTAAAACCACCTTTCAGACCGCTGGCATGGAGCCGCAGAAGATGGAAGTGCCATTGTCTGGTTGCATCATGGTGCCGACCGCGAGCACGCAACCCCGCAGCGTACCGATGTCACCGTACGAGGCCCCACTGGTGAGCGCTATTTTTCATTTCGACTATTCTCTTACCTACACATGGATCTCGAGCGATCCTGCTGGTCGAGTGAAACGACAATGCGGATATGTGAGAAACGGTTCTAACTCTCGTCTGCTTTCGATTAGCATGGCAGCGCGGGTGCCACTCCACCAGGAAGTCAGTACAGTCTTGTTCCCCCGCATCGTTCTCAGAGCCCACCGCTGCCTCCGCCTGCTCACCATCATACCAACGCCTCGCAGGTACTTCGCAATGTTCTCGTAACGAAGGTTTGTCCTCTGTTCTCGCACTCATGCTTTAGAACCGTGCGAGCCGGATAGTTCGGACATATTTGTTCAGACACTTAGCGAATCTTTATTATACGAACGGAGTTAGGAGAGCTTAAGGGTGAATTCGACGCAACAGGTGACTGAAGGGGTGACTTTTCTTCTCCCACAGGGTGACGTTGTTAACCACTACGGAGGGCTGAGCCGTGGCGCAGACCTTTCTCCTCATTACATGTTTCAATACCAATATATACGCGCGCAGGAAGCACTGGGGGCGCCGCGCATAGCTTATCACATTCCAGGAACGAGATCGCCCCACTTACCGTTAGACCCGAAACTCGACGGCGGCATAGAGGACAGCCACAGCCCTCCGTTGGAGCTGAGACGGGCGACGAGAACGCCGCAGGAACGCACCACCGACAGTCCGCAAGTTGCTCAGGTTTACATGTTACACGGAGGCATGAGGTTGCAGCCGCCGCCGCCGCAGTACAACGCGGCGAGTAACCCGTCGCTGCCCGGCGCACCAGCCGGCGCCAGGACGACGTACTACGATCCACCGCCGGCGCATCTGCGCTCTCAGTATCCGATGACCGCCAGCGAGGCGCCGACCGACCGGGCGATCACCCCGGACAGATCCAGGAAGCATCAGGTCGTCACACCGCCGCACGCGTCTCAGGTGCCCCCGCAGGCGGACTCGTTTCAGATGTTGCTCCAACGTTACCCGGTTATGTGGCAGGGTCTGCTGGCCCTTAAAAACGACCAGGCCGCGGTGCAGATGCACTTCGTCTTCGGCAATCCCAACGTAGCCAGAGACAGTCTGCCGTGCAACAGCGACGGGTCCACTCCGCCGCTGAGGATAGCCCAGAGGATGAGATTGGAGCAGACTCAAGTGGAGGGTGTGGCGAGGAAGATGCAGGTGCGTGTCGCAGTATTTTCCAATGGGGTTTTCGCGCCGGAGCGGTAGGGCTTGCCGCAGACTCGCGGGTCGTTGCTCAGGTACAACAGGAACGACGCGTAACGATAACGTCGTTGGAAGTTCGAGAGTCGGCCTACTGGAAAAAGCCGGGAAAAATTCAGGCGAGACTTCAATCGGTCGGGGGAAACCTGGAAAAATCGTGGAAAGATAGAAAAGAATCTGGAGTTTCGAAGTTCGCTTGCGATTTCCTGAAGGAACGTCCGCAACAACCGCAAAAGTATGCGGTAAGCTAATTGACCGATCGCAGTCGATTTATTTTTGGAATCTGCCAATCGAATTGGTCAATTAGCTTACCGCTCATTGCATATTTTACGGCTGTTGCAGATGGTCTTTTACGGTTATTGCAGGCGACCAAATTGACCCAGCTATACTCGATTATTCTCCTTATGGTCGAGGAATAATCGACCGTGATTGGTCACTTTTCTTATCACTTACGTTTTATTTATTTAATACGTTACATGCGAACAACAATTCCAAAAGTACGGAATTATCATATAACACATCACTGAATATTTTCCAGACTGACAACGAACATTGTATGCTGTTGGCGCTCCCTTGCGGCCGTGACGAAGTAGACGTGTTGCAACAAAGCAAAAACCTTCAAACAGGCTTCATCATGTACCTTCAACAAAAGCAAGCTGCCGGAATTGTCAACATCGCCGCGCCAGGCTCGCAGCAGGTAGGACGAAATGAATAATCGCACGAGATCCCTCCGTTTCGCCGGGTCTTTCCGTTCGGATCACACTGTGAGCTCGCAATTGAAGCGTAACGGGTGATAATTTGTTTCTTGCGTTCCAGCCAGCGTACGTGGTGCACATTTTCCCGTCTTGCGATTTTGCGAATGAGAGTTTGGCGAGAATCGCGCCCGATCTACTTCACCGTGTCGCAAAGATCGCCCACTTGCTAATCGTCATTGCTACGGTCTGAGGACGATCAGTGACCACCTACTGGATTATACGTTCTACTCATGGCCTTGTTCACATCGCGCAGGACACTTCGCACGCGGCATGAAGCCTAGAAGTGTCCGTCCGACACGCACGTAATATTGTGCAAAGATCGAGGAAAGAAAGAGAGATCGACGGAAAAGAGAGAGAGAGAGAGAGAGAAATCACAGAGAGAGAAAGGAAGGGAGTATGCGTTCGAAAGGAAGGAGAGAGAGCTCCTTTATCCGGAGTCGTATCAGTGACAATCAAATGGAACCCAACGCTACACCGATCTTAGATCGTAGGCCTAAAGCGAGGCACGAGGTTGTGCGACGGAGAGAGGCTAGCGCGGTCAATACGCCGGTATCATCGCGCCTGCCTCCCTCCCGACGAATTCAGGCGCAGGCAAGCTCGTTTCTCTTTTTTTCTCAGACGGCTTGTAACTCGCGCCGATATTACTGACAGCGTTTGTGGGATCGACCGACATCACTCTTGGTCTTTCTGACAAGCGGGTCAGGGCACAACCCCTCACAAGCCCTCGAGACGAGACCTTCGATTTCATCACTCGCGATCAGTCCACGAAACTACTCACGTTCGTTCTTCTGGTAGAGGAGAGAAAAAAAAAAGTTAAAACAGTTAAATAACCGTTGCTCTAGATGGACAGTCCAGTTCCGTAAGTAAAGAATAGGACGAAGTAAAGAAAGGAAAAAAAAAACGTAAACCCTACATCATTACACACGAGCTATTTTAAGTAAGGCTTGAACGTTAATGATAAAACTGTATAAATTATAAGCAAGCCAGCGAGGGCATAACTACTGTGATTTTAATTATTTAACGATACATAACTGCGTTACGAGGCAGAAAAACAAAAGTAAAACAATATAAGGGTGATCGACTAATGCTCTGTGAGGTATGTGATGTGTTTTTTGTATGATACTGCTCTATATAAATAACTATGTATTATATTATCGTAACGGAATAGAGTTGCTGCTATACCCCCTGTTTCTGCCGCCGCCGCTCGTGTCGAACTAGTAATGTAAATCATAATGCTAGACCTTTAACATAAATACGAGAAAAGTGGGCTACACCGTGAGGTTAGGATTTGCCCCCTAGTGTATCATAATTTTGCATAGCAGGCTGTAACATATTCTGAATTATTATTATTATTATATTATACTTTTAGAGAGCGCGCATACACATCATACATCTTGAGAAAAAACAGATTTATAGAATATTACTTCTCTAATTCTCCTCAGCCTTCATTATTATAATTATTATGATCAGCATGAATATCACCTATTTTATTACAGTTATGATTACTATTATTACGGTTAATATTATTGTTACGATTATTATTACGACTACTATTACCAATGCTATTGCTACTATTTACTACTATACTATTACCACTACTCTACTACTACTATTACTACTACTATTACTACCACTACTCTACTACCACTATTACCGCTGCTATTAATTATTATTAACGTTATTACAGCAGGCTAGGCTATATATAGGAAGGGCGTACCAATTCGCATATTTAAGAACAAATGGGGCTTATTTGTCATACTGAGGAAAAAAAAATAGTATGATCGATCTCATTGACCACTGACGCCGCCCCATTTTACACAACTTCCATCCTATTACACCCCATCCCTCGTCAGGCTCCGACTCTGTCGCGCGACGACGACTCATAGACTCTTTAGCGTTCGTGTCCGAGATAATAAAATGCGCTTATGTGTATAGACCAGAAGTTACATTATATCACACCAAGCCGTGAGAAAAAAAAACATTTTAGGCGAATTAAGGAACTTACCTACTTACAATATTATGCTGCTGCGCGTAGGACGCATGCCTCTAGAAGAGTAATCTTATGCAGAACTATTGGGGATGGACAAAACACACGCGACCGTGTTTTAATTTCCGGCGGAATAGTGACGATATGTCGACGAACGACGACTACTTTTATCACGATGAAACGTATCTCTCTCATTTCTTTTTCTCGGAACGAAACGTCCAATTTTTTACTTAAATCACTCGCAGTATATGTATGCGCGCATGTGTGTGTGTGTATGTATGCATGTATGTGTGTGTGTGTGGGAGAGAAAGTGTGGGTATGTGTGTGGTTAGTGACTGAAAGATTGCAGCGTTTTTTTTTATTTTTTTTTCTTTTAACGAGCTACGCAACACATCCGTATTTAATAGACGAATACGTTTGTTCGTTAAGTCTCTCTCGAGCGAGCTTCGGAAGTGAATCGGTCGTGCGAATATGGTACGGTGAATTTGTTGATTTTCTGCCGATCATCGAACGCGCGCATTCAACACGTTCAATGTCGCCCCGTCGCTCCTGTTCTGTCGATCCCCGAGACATAATTACTTTAAGGCAGCGCGAATACTCGCGGAGAGCGTGTGTATGTACAGTGTAAAAGATGCGTTGTGGATATGTACAGTGTAGAGGTATAATTGAGCAGGTGAAGTGATAAAAAGAAAAAAGAAGCGCGTATATATTATAGCTATGAATAAGTATATAATAACGGCGCGCGAGCGTGCGCACGTGTCGCGCAACGTCGTCGTTTATTCGCAAAACGGAAAAGCGCCGCGTCTTCTTCCGTCTCGTTTTGTTCCCCCTTCTTTCCCTCCCGCGGCCTGTCACACGTTGCTCGCGTAGCGTAAATGCAGAAATACGATACGTTTCTCGCGCCGCATTGTTCCGCGACGCGTGCGTCCGCCGTCGCGCCACGTCTATCTTGTAAAATATCTGTGAATATTACGATTTAGTTTCTTCCTATTTGTAGAGCAGGTAATGCAAAGAAGCGTTTACGTTAATCGTTTAAGGAGAATGTGTACAGATACCCCCTCCCTCCTCCTCCCCACTACCACCTTTTTTTTGTTTTGTGTTTTACTGTAGTTATCGATAATTATATGGATATTAACGATAATAATAACTATGATTAAAAAAAAACTTAAGCACGGCTCGATTGCGTCATTCTTGAAAAAAAAAAAAACCCGCTAATGCGCAATATTTATTCTGTGTAAGAGAAAAAAAAAACTCTTGGTGATAATGTATCATTTGTATATTAGTAATTACCTGATCTCCTAATAATCGAAAAAAAAAAAAAGAAAAATGAAACTTGAATAGAATTGATATACACGCGTTACGATGTCACACCGTATTCCATCTCCTAAAATTCGTCACAATCTCCACCGATTGATTTCCGCCGTCTGCTACATGCGTTTATTCCGAGATGTTAATGCGTTACATGAGATGAGCGTTATGAGATTTTTCTTTTTATATTAGATCAGGAGCTGGACTTCTCGCTAGAAAGGTAATATAATAAAACACAAACTATTACCTCGAACACCCCGGGCGTATATTTCTTATTACGGTCTTGCATCTTTTCGTCGTACTTTCCGTTCGCGAACATTTTGCGATGCAATGTATTCAGAAAAGGAGAAGAAGAAGATACATTCCACGTGTTATATTTTACGTCACGTTTCAATGATTATGAGTAAACAAGTACGTAACACGACATAGTCAGTGATTTTATCGGGAACAGCTACTTTATCCGCCGAGCAGCGATCAGACACTACGAGCTTTTCTCACGAGTATTTCTACGGATTGCTGACCCATTCGGGCCAGTTCTGGATCTGCTGGTAGAGTTTCTCCCCCGGACTGGACGTTGGTCCCACCTGTCGTCCACCGATCACACGTACGTTGCTCCGAAGAATCCCCTGGGACTTGCCGCATTCAATTAACTGATGCACAGCGTCCAACATGCTTTGCTTGGCCTGTTTTCCTGAAGAGACGAACAATTTTTCAGAATAAAATATTTTTCCTCTCTTTCCCCAGCGCATTGATATTATATAACAGGGCAATATATCAAGTATATAATTGCTGATACGGCAACTGTACGAACCCAGTAAACACCAACGGTAACATAACGTCAATGTTATATAACGGTAACATAACGTCAATATTATATAACGGTAACATAATGTCAATGTTATAATTTCTCACTCAACAATGTAAATGCAATATAATTCGTATGTTATGTAATTATAACATTATTATTATTATATTACGTTATGTTATTAATAATTGGTGTTTACTGGGAAATGGCAGTTATAATGATTAGTGAGGTAAACTCTTAAATATTTATGAAGAAATATTTACTACTAAAATTTCCGATGAAGGATATGCCAATCGATTTTTTATTGTATGAATACGTGTGCGCTCCCTCGCGAGTCCAGCCGACTCCTTCGTATATGTTTCCATCACCGCCAACCAAGAATCTTTAGAAAAAAACGCATGATTGTTGTAAATAAATTAAACGTTTATTAATCACATGACTTACGAGTAGCCGATATCGTCCCAGCCGTTATCGTCCATGTGATAACCACGTATGTTATCGACGCGTTGGCTGCATTTCTCGCGAGTTTCGCACTCGGGGGTCACCGTGTGATGTATTACCACATAAGGTATTGGCATAATTAAATAATTCACATCTCCGGCGGGAACGTTCGTCCATTGGCTCCTACTGATAATATTGGGACACTCCACGGGTGGATCTGTACAGCCAATGATAGACAAATAATAATTAAGAAAAAAAGTATGGTAGTCCACAGCTAAAACACAGGTAAGAAAAAACCCATTAAACAACTAACAATAATATACTACTAACAATAATTATAACACAGTGTTATAATTTCTCACTCAACAATGTAACTGTTACATAACACACGCCTCACATTATATTTACATTGTCGATGGGGAAATTATAACATGGATATTGTGTTATTGTTTGGTGTACTGGGAAGATTTCATTTCGACAGATATTGTAAAAATGTCTATTAAGGATCTCTTTGTATAATTAGATATGGTTGATTGTGAAGCGTGTGAATACTTACTGGCAAAAGTTGCCGAGAGACTCAGTAAAAATACGAAGACGATTTTCGACATCATCTTTGCAACACTAGCGAATTGTAACTGCACGAGTAACGCTGTAAGGTCGAAATATAATGTCAGTAATATCTGAGGTTACGACCTCGAGAGATAATGTGAGATAATGAGAGAAATTTGTCAGCTATTGATAATGAGAGAATGATGTCAGCTATTGATTTTCTTCTATGTAATTTTTAATTACGAAAAAGAAAGAATAATCCGATAGTAATAAAATCTGATATACTAATTTATTATTTATCTCATTAATGCATAGACGATTGTTATTTTTCACGACGTTTATTATTTAACAATTATACTATAACGGTTTATAATGATATTATGAATGAGTCAAAATACAATGAAACTTTTGTCTCTTTGTTACTTGGTTTATAAAAGTTTAAAAGTTCAAATGGAAAAATAAAAATGTTTTTAACTCCGCATACATAACGCGCGTGCGCGCCACGCGCCCGCCATTATCCAAATTCGGCGCGTAAACGCAGAATCTTGACTCATCTGAAAATATGCTGAAGTGTCTGTAAGTTGATGTTGGTACCTGATTAGAAAAAGAGAAACAAATCGCCATGCAGGCTGCTCGATTATGCGGATGCAAAAAGGTACGGTCGTTTGATTTATAAAGAATAATATAACATAATCAGGAAGAACGAGACGACAAATATATTACAGGTGAGATTCCGGAATGCCTTAACCTACAAATTTCTGAACACCCGACGTTTTTTATTTAATATCACACCTCGATTTTTAATGTCGTTTTTATTTAATTTGTATCATCATGTGTCGATGATTCAAGCCGACCTCGACTCATACTATGCTTTTAGAAAAAATTCCGCGTTATTGGTTGCTTACCATTTATATGATACATAAAAATTATATACAAAATTTGTATGTTGTATCTGCGCCAAATAAATATATCGATTGTATCACATCCTCACGAAAATGGCGAAAAATTAATAATTGAAATGATGACGGAGCAGAAAAGGGAAGCGTAATTTTCAGATTAAAGCATCAACAATTAAAAACGAGATATAAATCGACAAATTATCATAATCGGGCAAATTATTTAATCAGATTCTGAGGAAGATTGTTTTGATTGGTCTTGTTCATAATTTTATCCTGGGATATTCTTTAATATTTTCTTTTTAAATGTTCTCTTGAATTTAAGCAGCATTATTTAACTGTAAACAGGAATTTTAATATAATAAAGCGGTACTTTTTTGAAAATTTTAACAATAAAGTATCTTAATTATATATGTATACGTAACTATATATATTCTACTATGCATTCACGGTGATTATTTTTCACATAAAGAAATATATATATATTACTTTATTTATAAAAATATATGCCAAGGATTTATAAAATATTATTTATAGAATATTTATAAAAATATATATCAAGAAATTCATACCTGAGAACTTTGCTGTAGTTTCAGCTTCTTCCTATTTCATCTGCTATCTATCATATACTGTTTATTCAACCACCAGAATAAGTCCTCCTCCAGAATCCCCTTCTATCTGGCTAGAATACCTGAAAAACCAGTTTATCGCTTTACCATTTTTTTACACGAATGATGAGAGGTTAACCTTGTGTTCCCCTCATTTAGTCTCCTTGTTACCTTTTCTTGTATATTTCATGTATATATTTACTCTACATATACGACGGTTTATATATGAAAAAATATATGTATATTTATCACTTATAATATAAAAAATAACTTAAAAGTTCAAAGATTATTCAGATTCTTAAGTTTTTTAAATGTGAGTTCGGAATTTTATGTCGAAAAGTTTAAAAGTTTAAATGAATAAATTGAAATTTAAAACATTGCACATACAATACGCATGCGCGCCCGCCATTATCCAAGTCTGACACGTAAGGGCAAGTTCCTGGCTCATCTGAAAATACGTTGAAGTGTCCGTAAATTGACGTGTTATTAGTACCTGATTAAAGAAAGGAAAACAAATCGCCATGCAGACTGTCCGACCTTGCGGATGCAAAGGTGTACGCTCTTGTTTAATTTGCGAAGAAGAGTATAAAATAATCAGGAAGGAGGAGACGACAAGCATATTACAGGTGAGATTCCGGAATGCCTTAACCTACAAATTTCTGAGCACTCAACAAGATGTTTATTTACTATCATACTTTAATTTTCAGTGTCAGTTTAAATTAGTTTGTATCACTGTGTGTCGGTGACGGTAAGCCGACTTAAACTAACACTACCTTTGCAAAGAATTGAACATTATTGATGCTTTCAGTTTACATAAATTGTGTCAACACTTTCTTTAAATCATGTAAAAAATATGTATGATATTTTTCATTTCTTTTATGTGAATGAATGAAATGGTTGTCTTGTGTCCTCTCATTTTGTCTTCTTGCTATCTTTTTCATGTATATATTTATTATATCTATGATGATTCATATATGAAAAAATATGTTTATATAATATAAAAAGGAATCTTAAAACTGCTATAATACTTTTTATGAAATTTATCAATTATGCATAATTGTTTCACATAAATATGATATTTTTTTAATTGCTGTTTGCAATTTTTTAGTCAGTTAAAGATATATTTATTGCGTGTGCTTTCACAGAAAAGCAAAAGTTACGTTTATTGTCCATATTGTGATAAGTTATCACCTGGATGGGATGTAGATGAGTACAAGAAACATCCTTACCACGATGGGAACTCGATTGATTATCCTGGCGTTTACATCAAGGTAACGTTTGCAACAGAAAATATTGCACATTTTGCGCCATCTATTATAGTATTTGATTAACAATAGGTGTATCCCAGCTAGATTTCTTAAACGAAGATGAAGCAAAAGGATTGATGAAGGCGCTTGATCATCTCCCTTGGCAAGCTTCACAAAGCGGCAGAAGAAAGCAGGTACGTACCTTTGTTTAGAAAAATAAATAGTTATATTCTTGAGTAACTTTGACACATTTAAGCACACAAGACTCAATTTGTAGAACTTTGGACCGAAATGCAACTTCAAGAAGAGGAAATTACAATTGGGGACATTCGATGGTTTTCCTAAAACGACACAGTTTGTACAGACGAAATTCGGGCAAGTGCCACTGTTGCGCGATTTCAACACTGTCGAGCAATGTTCATTGGAATATGACCCTGTACGAGGCGCTTCTATCGATCCTCACATCGACGACTGCTGGATCTGGGGAGAACGTATAGTGACTGTGAACGTTCTCGGTGATTCCGTTCTGACAATGACTCCTTATCGCGGCCAGATAAACCGATATAACTTGGATTGCGTCCCTAATTATAATAGTTCCGTTCTAAAAGACGATGTTTGCAACAACACGCAAGCTGCACATATCGATGATGACGTGGTGGTTCGATTGCCGATGCCTGCTGGATCACTCATGATTTTATACGGTCCTGCAAGGTATAACACTTTGTTTATAAATGTTAAGACAAGATATATGCATAGAATTCACATTATATGTGATTTTTGTTCGCCAGGTATAAATGGGAGCATTCTGTGCTTCGAGAGGACGTCGTGTCGAGGCGCGTTTGCCTCGCGTATCGTGAATTAACACCCCCGTACCTTGAAAATGGAGAAAATCGTGAAGAAGCCTCCGAGATCTTGAGGCAAGCTACATTCTTCTGGTGACGTCAGTATAATATGAAGTAAATTTAAATATATTTATCTAATAAGTCACTTGTTACACACAGTGTAACACTATTCTAGAATTCAAACTCTCCTTTCAGAAAAAAACTATAGAAACATAATTGTAATAATAAATTGGAAAAATTCCTTAATAGAATAAAGATATTTTATTTGTAACATAAATATACAATATATTAATAATAACGTACAGTATTGGCAACGGTTTTTTCTACAACAACTCTCGCTTGGTAATCTTTCAAATGTGAATATCTTCTGTACATATGGCAAAGACTCTCTTTAAAATATTAATTGACACATCCTTTTGAATACTAAAATACCCGTACAAATCACTCATAAGAAACAGAATCGGAAAGTACATACGTATAGCGCCAAGAAACTATATAATTTATGAATTATAAATCACTACACTTATTTTTGGTTAAGTATTGTTTCCTCTTATATTATCCGGCAAGAGCTCACTGAATGAAAATGAATAAGGCGGTCGGAAATCTTAAATATCCATTCTCGTAGGATGCTTCGTAACGCGCTTTGTGGAAAAGAAAAACTGTTGTCCAATTTTGGAATTTTGTCTCACGAGGACGACAGTTTGAAGTTATTTCTGATTTTATTTTTTTGTAAATCTACTTTTGCATCGCGAAATGTTAACACACGTTCGCTGCGTGGTTCTTACTCGAAGGACGAGTCATCTCGTCCGCTGAAGCGAATGCGTTAACACTTCTTATCGCTATTAAGCGGATACTCCGGCGACATGTACACTACGGGAAACGTAGTCAAGGGATCCGACTTTCCCAGCGGCTCGTAGCCGTTTACGAGGTTCTCTCGCAACTCCCAACGACGCCTCTCCCTTTCCGTCTTCTGACGTCTGATGGCTCGACCCAGCATGCACGCGAACATGATTCCCGTTAGCTGGAAAGAAAGAGGATGCGTATCGCCATCGGTTTTATTCAACTGAGAATAAACTACAGTAAGCGCTTTGAGATTGCGTTTCTTTAATTGGTAAGGAGTCGAGGGGGCCAAGTATCTGCTAAAATTCAACGTACGTCGAAGACGTGAAGTCAAACTGGAGTCCACTCACCTGAATGAGAGCGATCGCCACAGCTCCTGTGCCGATATATAGGGCGCTACGGTGAATAATAATGGAGAGACGACCGATACATCCCTCCTGGTATCTCTCTTCTTCCGGGCAGACTTCCTCACCGATATTCAAAGTTATATACTCGCAGCAAGAGTCCATCGGCTGCGTATTGTTCAACGAAATGCTGGTCCAATCGTTCGGTCCGTTGTATCCACAACAATGTAACTGTAAAATGAGAGGAGAGGAAATATAATGGAAATATAAAACATTTATAATATAGTTGAAATAATGTAATACTTAGATATAAAAAATACATATATATTTTTTTAATATAATTCAAATAATATAATTTAAACCTTTCAGGATGAATCTTCCCTTTGAAAAGGCACGTTTTAACACGCTTTTCGTTACATAAATAAGTATGCGGGTATAAGCAGTAACGCGAGATTGCGAAGCGATGATTCTCTTACCCGAGATTGCATGAAATCAAGGGCGAACCGGGCCTCGTCGTTCGTTCCATACTGATGCATCGTTGCGTTGATCTTCTCAGCCAGGAGACCCTTGATGTTGCCCTGCAGGGCGTACGCAGCAACGGCGGCGGACAGCTCCAACAACAACACGATCGATAGCGAGACTGCAAACTGGAGATAAATATTAGAATTTCATAAAAGGAAAAACCAAGAAGTTTCACAAGGATAAAATATACAGTGGACAAGAAGAGGGTGAAAAGAAGCTGTATCTTTTCGGGGAGAGTTTTGCACAACGAAGGGAAGTAGAATATCACACTCCGTGGTTGATTATTTCATACAGCTTTATCCGAAGAGAAAAACGAGGCCCGCGAGGTATCCGTTTTACTTGTAAGAGATTCATAGCGCCACTTACCACAAGAACCATACAGGTGCTCTCCCGAAGCGCGCCGCAGCATCCCATAAAAGCTATTATGAACACGAGTATCCCGACCACGATGAGGAGCGTGGCCGGCGAGAAGTAGCTCGGGTCCAGGAAATGCGAGAAGCTCTCGTAAACGGCATAGATGGTCGTGCCGACCGATATTATCATTACCCCCGTCAACTGCGGGCAGAAATAGAACGCGAGTTACTTAACGAGAAAACAGAATATAAGAATATGAATATCGTGATGCAGTCCTAATTAGCCGTGTCTCGCGTAACGCGCACTCCCGTGCAACATACAAGATCTTGATTGTCCTTCATTACCTGGCATCACTTACGTAATTCGCGGCTACGGGCGATCGTGGCGGCGCACGGTTAATTTTTCAAACTCGGAAGACTAGGCCGATACGTGACATTTTTGTCGCCTTTGTGTATGCGTGTATATGTGTGTGCACATGTGTGTATATATATATATATATGTGAGAAGCGTGTTGCAAACTACGCTACGTCGCGGTCGGTCTTTACTCGCATGACAAAGCGCGCGTGCTGCGTAATTCATACGACAAGGCTCTTTTATTTTTATTTACGCGGTTTTATAAAGCTTAACATGCCCGCACGCAGGATTTATTTGGACTCGTGTATTTCGTCTCTTCTTTTTCCCTATATAATTTTCCTATATAATTCCTATATAAAACGAACTTAGTTTGATATATAATGCGGAGACGGGAAAAATATGTTTGCTATCGTGCATGTGTGACGCTGGCCTCTCGTGAGAGACAGAGAGAGAGAGAGAGAGAGAGAGAGGCCGTGTTGACGTGTCTTCGTGGAAAAGTCGGAAAGTAAATTATCCAATTCCACACGTCTCGGCGGTGTACGGTATCGATGCGAAACCCGGGTGATTAGTATCGCAATGAGATAAGAGAAGCTCTTGAGCTTTCGATCCGGTTTGCATAAACACGCGCGATTTCTCGGTAAGCCGATTGTATTTGTGTACCACGCGGCGGTAAGGGAGAAAATATCTCTCGGGCAATTATCTCTCCCGGTGGAACAACAATGGCAACAATCCGAGATCGAACAGGAGCGCGCGATGACGAGCGATCAAGAGCGACGCGCGACGCCGATCCGTAATAATAAACCTTCACAATTCATTCGTGTACATTGTTAGCCCGAGCCGCACGGCGCCGATACCGCGCACATCATCACGAAGATTAGACATTTATCTCTACTGATAAGCGAGCATTTGAGCCCCAGGTAGACTCGACTCGACGTATAAGCTCGCGGGTACACAAAACGTTCTGTCTCAAGTGATGCGCAAATGACGATTTTGTTTCTTTTTCTTTTTTCATCGTTTATTGTCGCGTCTACTTTTCCTTCACATCAGCTGCCGTTCCTCATAATTGCGTTCTCGGCGTTTCCATTTGCCGATTTTGCCGAAGCCGCGCTTGAATATTTCGTAACGTCGCGACATTTCAGAGCTAATGAATGGTATTATGTCTGTGCTATTTTATTTTTACGTTAACCCGCTATGTCGTGCCTCACAATTGCGTTTTTCCGCGCGTATTTAAAGATCTCTGATTTTCCGTTGATTTGCGCGATTTGCTGATGTGAAGAAAAAGTAGACGCGACAATAAATGATGAAAAAAAAAAGATTCGAATATTTCTGTAAGATTCCGATATATTTTAGAGCTAACTTTCACATTAACTAATCTATACCGTTTCTCATAATTATGCTTCCATTTTCTGTTACACGAAGCAATATTTGAATATTTCATAACGTCGCGACATTTTAGAGTTGATGAATAATGTTAGGTCTACGTCGCTCTTACGTTAACTGCTATATTATAGACGATAACATCACAACTGCGTTTTAAGACCTTTATTTTCCGTAATACGAAGCCCCTTATTCGGATATTTCGTAACGTTGCGATATTTCAGGACTAACTTTTACGTTAACTAATCTATACGCGTTCCTCAAAATTAATGTCTCCATTTTCCAATACGAAGCGATATTCGGGCATTTCATAACGTCGCAATATTTTAGAGCTAATGGATAGTGTTGTGTTTGCGTTACTCTTGCGTTAACTGCTGCACCGTTGCTCGTAACTGCGCCTCAACGTTTCCATTTTACATTATAGGAAGCCGCCATGCTTGGATGTTTTATAACCGTCGTGACGTTTTAGAGCTATCTCTCATTGTCACTATCGAATCGGCGTGCTTTTTTATGCTGCAACGTGAGTTTACGCGTGACGATTTCGATCGTATATCGGTGACGATCCACGTGGACAATCGTCGAAAAATCGGCTGTTTTCGATTAATTGTAAGAGAGAGAGAGAGAGAGAGAGAGAGAGAGAAGTACAGTGTTAATCAGGTCGCGCAGCTGTTGTGCGCAGGTTCGCCCGTCACTTAATAATTTAGCTTAATAATTTAGCAGTGTATAGACTCGTCTATGCGATATCGACCGTAGTTCGAAAGTGCTCTTTGTAACGACGAAACCCGATGAGTTCGAAAACGAACTTTGTGGCCCACATCGCCTCCTTTGCGATCGTTTCCGATAGAGAAAAAGATGAGTAGATAAGGAGAGATAGGAGAGAATAAAGAAACGCAATGAAAGATATTAACACACATCGGTGGGAAAAAAGAAAAACTCGTTTTCTCTAATCGTTCTCACGATGTCGCTCTCACGATTTTCCACGGTCTTCCCGATTTTCCACGCGCTTTTCCACTCGCGCCGCCGATGCGACCGAAGTTATCAGATAGCAGCTATCGCAACACAAATCGATCCTTCTTATGTCGAAATCGTAACTCGATACGTGATATTGGTCGGTATTATCATTTCAAATATAACTTTGCTGTTATTGGATTCTAATTCCTCCGTGAAGGATCCGCGATAACAGCAATACTGAATTATTTTCGCGCGGGTAAAAATAAAAAAAGTCAGCCGTACGCGAAAAATGAGCGTCTAATGAATCGGTTTTTTTTTCTTTATTTCTTCAGGATTGATCGCCGCCTGTCGGCCGCCGCTTTATCGGGACTCGTATCAATGACTGTATCGCAAATAATAAGGCTGATATGGAAGTGATTCGTTTAAAACGCAAAGCACAAAGCGAGAGAACGACGTCGAGTCGAAATTTTAATTCTACGTTATATCTATTCAGTTCTATATTAGATCTTCAAAAAAAATCGTGCTCCTTTGGTACTAGGAATTGGAAATTATACCCGTTTTCTTCACTTGGAGACTTAATATAGAATTAAAAATTTCCCTCCGGAAAGTCCAAATTCCCTTTCTAGCATCAAAGCAGCACTTTTATGCTACCGCTTTAATGCTACAAACGAGAAGTTATTTCCGTTTTCTCCACTTGAAGACTCAATGTCGAAGCACGGCTTAATTGGTTTTTTATAGTTGCCGAACTGGCAATGAATTAGAGTGAGAGAAGTATATTTTGTCTCGCTCAATCTTATTACACCCAGTGCAGCTATAAAGAACGGGCCAAACGTAGGATAAAAATTTCAACTCGGGGTCCCGGGATCGGGAAATTTTAGTTCTACATTGAATCTACAAATATATAACTATATTTGTCTCTCAGTGCAAGTAGACTCGATGTGAGAAAATTGCGGGATATCGCGATACGAACAGTTCGCGAAGTAACAACGATGACATGTGCGGAAAGGCGAGCGGTAATCATTTCGAAGTGACGAGCGAGTCGACCAATCACAGTCGGGGAATTTGAAGTCTAACGGCCGCGTGTTCCCGATCATTCTCGGCCGCCTGAAACGCTCGTTTCTGACAAAAATCCGACTTTTCCGATACGCGCGCAACCACGCAATGCCGAGCGTAGAACGTTGTTCTCTCTCCTCGTCTGATTTCGGCCGACGCGAAATAACGACGCACGGTTTCTCTTCTCTCGTCAAAAGCGAGCCCCGCGATCAAGATCGGTATTTTATTTCCCGCTGTAAGATCGTAGCCTTTTTTTCAGAAACCAAGCATCATCTGTACGCTGTCGCTGTAATGGCAATCGATAATTACGGACGTGTGGTACAGTTCACACGGGAGCGCAACGCATAACGTGCACTTTCTCGTCGTCAGAAAACATTTCCTAGCGACGCGCCTCTCCAACGACGCGCAACGGCATACGTCGGCCGTTCGGCGGAGTCGTCGGCACCGGCTACGTGTACCTGCTAAGTCTAAGTTTGGAGGGGCGCGAGTATAATCTCACATTTTCCGAATACCTCTTCCAAGTGGAAGAGACTTACGCAACTACGACGTCATGCGACAACTTCGAAGCGCATTGTTTCATGCGAAATATCGTCGTGATGAATGCGTGACCAAACGCGTCTACGTTTGTCCGAGGAGAAAAAAACAAGAAAGCAGCTGTACATTTTTTGAACCGGCGTGTAGAACATTAAATATTAACAAAGGCATCGCGCGCGCGCAGCCAAGTAGGACGATTCCATTCCGCGAACGGAATCAGGATAACCGTGGTAATGTTGCGAGCAGCTCTGCGCCAGCAAGCGGAGGAGAAACACCAAGCACGGTACAGACCACGAAGAGGGAGTTGACGGCGCACAGCAGGTACTTGATGCAACGAAGGCCGACGTCGAGATGCGTGGCCGCCATTTTGGTGCTCGGTCTGGTTCCTCCGCGGGCGCAGGTGCACGAGGAAAGATCCGCGCACATCCACCGTCGACGCACCGACTGTCGATGCCGATGCCGATGCCCGGTATCGGACGACGCGCGATCAGCGTTATCTCGCTGGCCGATAAAGAGCGACGAAAACGTACGAAGGCGACCACGACGACGAGCGACGACTGTACGCCGTGACCGCCGACGGTGACGTCCTTTGCCCGGTGCCGACGTGTTCTTTTGTGCACGCCGGGAGTGGGAGGAGACGAGGAAGTCGCGATAAACGCGGAATAATGCGGTGAAGCGGCGATAAGTCCGCGACGAATTCGCACCGTGTCGCGAGAGACTGAGCGCAAGTAAGACCGAGCTCGGGAAACTCCCGGGGAAATGTTAATGTGCACGGACTAAGGTCTGCCCGCGCTTGAATTTACCTGAGATGAGCGAGCCAAACGGCATTCCGCTCGGAGGAAGCGACCAAATTTCTGGCCGGTTCTTTAAACCCCAACCGTCGCAATTATGATAATCAGGCGTCCTAAATAGCATATGTTAGTTTCGTGTTCTTTCAACGTTCTTTAACCAGTTAACTGTGGCGATCTCTTTGCAAAGCGCCCACCAGTGTGTGTCGCGATAATCAAGCGATGACGGGTATAGTCGCTCTCAGGAAGTTATAAATCCAACTCAAATTATTTATAATTTTCATTTGTTTGTTTCATTTCGTCTTGACCTCTAAACATTTTATCCGTATTAAAATTTACGAATATAATTTAGTTTCCGCCAGAATTACAATTTAAATATCAAATTGTAACAAAATTTTACGCATGACGGATATAGTCGTCATGACACAAGATTCTTCCATGATGGATATAGTCGTCAAACACACTTAACTGGTTAATCTTCGAGGAGGATCCTCGATCTATCTGTTCCCATCATTCTTCTTGATTCTCTTGCACGAATTATTCACGGCACCGAAGTATCGTTCCCTTGCCGAATACGTTTCCTCGTAATTCAATTTCGACGGAAACGCACGCGTCTTTTCCTTATCACGGCGTTTTATTTTCGCCGCGGCGTATTACGGTTTTGCCGGAAACGTTTTATCTCAGGCGAAGGAAAAGAACCGACGAGCACGCGAGAGAGTATGTGTACCGCCCGCTTTATTCTTATCCTGCCGCAGCTGCGAGACCAAGTCGTCCTCGCTTCCTAAACAGAGAGTCTCAAAGGGGCTCCTCTTTCTTCCTGTGTGTCAATTTTTTTGTTAACACGACGGCGGGAAACCAGCGGAAATATGTAAAGCGTGATACGTTGAAAGAAATAAAACAAGATATTTCGATACTTTTAATGTGTTGATTACCGACACTCTCGTCGGTAACCAAGTTAACATGAAAAAAAAAGTAACGTTGGTCACAGCCGTTGCTACGTTTGTACACGAGCAAAACAACGCGCGGCGAGTATGATTCATGCGTGAGCGATCGAGTTAATTTCGTGTATCTACATGATTCACACGCGGCCGGGCGCCAGTGTGCGTGTGCGGTTCAACGTTCCCCGCGATTTTGGCGCGTCGCAAAAATTATTCACAGCGGACTCTCAAGCGGAACTTTCCATCGAATAATTACCATAACGGGAAATACTTCTCGTCGTGGTTGTTTCGAACTATAAAGGGATTGCCGAACTCGTATATATTTGCGATTCCGAACTCTATATATTTGCGTTACATTATACCAGATCACACTCCGATTCTGGCTGCGTCGCCGATGTGGTTTCGCATGCGACTATTACATGACGGTGTGACGCTAATTTTATTGTCGTTTGCTTCTCGATATATTGATTATTTCATTACATTTGTCGAGAGTGGTCTAAAGTTAGACCGAAAATATATATTGGACACGATATTTATATATTTTGGAGATTATCGGTTATTATTAATATATTTTTCACAATAATACTTATCGCTTTAGTTTTTATTAACCCGATCTTTGTTATTATTCGACCGCAGAGCCTTGTACGATTTATCGTAACGTGTCTGCGGATCTCTGTGAAACAATTGACTTTCGCGTCTCGTCTTTATGATTTCTCGCTGCTTCCTCCTCATAAAAACAGGAGAGCGTCAATAGAATGGAGACACGCGAATGCATCGTAACTGAGAGAGGAAAAGACACGTTTCTCAGCGTAGATTTTATTAAAAACATACATCACCCACTCATTGCCTTTCATGTAAGGGCCGTGCGAAGCAAAATCAGAAGTTTATCACTCTTGTGATGACAAACGGAATATTTGCATCGGACGCGCACAGACTCATATTCTAATGGGAATCCTGCTGAGTTCAAGCACGACGTTCAGTTCCTGTGCGTTCGACGTTTTTAACGGACGCCTACATGGTCTGATAACAATTCTTGATTGACCTCGCTAAGTAGGCTGACAGGAAGATCCCTATCAACTGCAACATAATATATTATTCATCTCTCATGTCGGTGAAAACTTAGAAAATATTTCAAGTTCACACGCTTGAATTCTGTTTGAGAACAAACGACGTTCAAATATCGCGACGAACACATACGATTTCTAAGACCTCCGGGGCATTCGTAGTGTCTAATGCGTTCTTTCCGAGTACCTGAATTACGCCAAGGCCCATTCCGACTCCCGCTATTTTGCCCGCGTGCTTCTTCGCGAAGTGCGCGAACGCGTCCATGCAGCCCTCGCTGTGGAGACTGGGTGAACTTAACGTGCAGTTCATATCGCCGATAGCGCCTACGACATCATCGCAACACGACATCGGAATGCCGCGATACTGCTTAATTATCCAATCGGTGGCGTTGACAGTGCCGCAGCAATCGAACTGCAAAAATAAACGTTCGCTTCGTCATCACGTTAGCGAAATGTCAATTTCGATTTGGACATCCTGAAATAATAAACGTAAACGTCCCGAAATCTGAATATTCTCCGAACTTGGCCTGTATTTTGAATTGCTCCGGAATATTAATTAATCGGTATATAAAGAAATTAATACAGCATGTATCATTTTGAAACACTTGCACCCCGTGCAAACTTACTTCGTCCTTAACTGAAAATTAAAGGAACGGACGTCCTGCTTTTTTTTTTTACTTCGGAATGCGAGATTTCACACTCGCTCGTTTTCTCAGGAGTATTCAATTCAGGAGCGTGAAGCGTGCATTCGAACTGCGAAAATGAATACTCGCGCATCGTCGCGTTAATGAGACGTCACGCGAGCGCGGCAATGTTTGCAGAATCACACACGTGTAACAAAGCGATCTCGAGGAAAGGGCGTCTAATATTTTACGGCACGCTCGGTGCGTTTCGAGCGTTGCGAGATCGTTGAGTGTGGTCAGGGAAGCAGCGCGGGGGCGACGTAACAATCGATTCATACTACCCCCGTCGCGTGCGCGCCAGGCATCACACATGCATTATACACGCCGCGAATTAGAGTCGCGCACTCTGAAATTATCCCTATCGCTTCGTCGTCTATGATATCCTTCGATCGTCGTTGCTCCCACGATATAGGGAGGGCGCGGACCGTGAAGAACGTCTAACCGCAGCTGCTACCGAAAATAGAAAAAGTCACAGGTCATCAAAAAGCGCTACGAAAATATTCCTCGAGGATATTTTCGAAGATATTTCGACGGTAAAGGAGATTAATCGTTCGTGCGAGTGCAAAGGCTGCGTTCGATTTCGGCGTTTCACGCTGTAAGCGTCTTCCTATCTTTATTGTCCATTGTGCGTCAAAGGGGGATAGAATGACTTACAGCGCGTGAGCGCCCAATATGAACAGCAGCCGAAAAGTGTTTCTTTGTGATGGAAGAACTTCCAATTTCGCAGATCCTCTATCTCAATCCGTATTCCAAAAGCGGCGATTATACATTATTAACTTTGCGAATAGCTTGTTGTGTGAGCACAGAATTAATGATAATAAGTATTATATTAAAATGTCACTGAAATATTATCAAGATAGATGCATAGGGTGAGGCCATAACTATTACCAGCTTGAATATCTTGGGAATATGAGTGAAAATTGGTATCGTAAGAGAAAAACGTATCTAATAGAAACTGCGAGAAAAAAAATATCTAAAAAATGAAAATACTTGTTCACTGAGTACTAATAATATATTCACTTATATCAATATTTAATTATTATTACCTATTTTTACATTGAGAAAAACTTTTTTCCAAGTGAGAAAATGTAGGCATTATCTTAAAGTTTCTGTAGTTTTGCACGAACACAATTGTTCATTCTATTTAAATAAAAGAATTTAGATTTAATTAAATCTGTTATCACTACCTACCGAAAAAATAACTTTTTAATTTTTTATATATTTCTTATCTCAATGTATCAACGGTTATCACTTTGGACACCTGCAGATGTAAATTTTTTTATTTTCATCCGGTCGATAAGAATATTTGTACTTTTCAAAGATATTTAAGGTAATAATAGTTATTGCCTCACTCTGTGTTATCAATTCCTACGAAATAAAATTAATAAAAAAAAGCGAAGAATTCTCCCGCATTTCGAAGGTACGGATCGAAGACGGTTCGAGGAGAGTGAACCTCCTCGATTGTGCATTACTTTTCGTTGCAAATTATCCCAGACTATCTGGATCTCCTCGCTGGAATTATACTTGGTCATCGTGTCGAGCATCTTTTGCTGGGCGACCGACGTAACTCTCGCTCTCATCACGTATCCCATCGTGCCGCCGATGATCTCCAGAATGAAGACTCCAATTAAGAGCGTGCAGAACTGCAATGGAAAATAACGGGAAATCAACCAGAGGTCATCGAGACGTTTCGATCGTCTTACTAATTTGACATCGGTAACTTTAGCTTTCGTGTGTTAATAGACGCCGATGTGTCTCTCTTACGCCTAGGACGTTAGATACGTTAGAAGGTAACGGAGATACGTCGACGACGCTTCGACTTACTCGCCGACTTAATTATTACTCGTTACAACCTGCCGCAATACGTACGTCCGCGTTAATTTTTTAAAGTAACAGCGGAAGCGCGCCCACCCTTTCTCCTCCACGTGCGAGGGAGAACAATTCCCGGAATATTGCTTGGTCACGGGGTGGTGAGAGGACGAGGAGGGGGCACGATTACACACTTCGCGCACAAAACATTACCCATTACATTATGGAAACGAAGGGGAGACAACGATACGCGCGGCCCTTCTTTCCCGCCCTTGTACTTTTCGTCGTCGTTGGCCGAAAACGGCCGGCGCGACGAATCCGCGGAGATCCCGTCGAAGAATTCCGAGAACCGCAAGAAAGTTTTCAAATTACGCTCGCGACGGTCTCGTCTCCGCGCGGGAGTTTTTCTCATCGATCGTCGGTGCCGGTTTCGAAAGGGACCGCGCGCGTCGCGGGAGCAAAGTACACGCGGCGACAAGCAATGCGCGCGCGTGTGATAGATTACTTATCGTTACTGTTGTTGTCCAACATGGTCGGCTGAATAATTATTGTTGGCTAATTGCCCGACGAAAATTATAACCACGGTCGCAATGATGAGAGCGCTAATTACGAAATGGACGTCGTGAGAAACGAAACGTTATTTTTGTTATATTGAAAAAGGTCGCGAGGCTCTCGCACACAGACGCGTGAGAGTCGAGAAAACACGACTTAACGGTACGCATGATTTAGCAGAAGTGTGTGCGAATTTTCCGGGGAAAGGTCAAGCGCGTCGAGGTGAAGATGTTTTAGATAAAAGGAACACACACGGTCTCAAGATACTTTTCGGTACGTTCGTCCTTACCGTTACAATCATGCAATGGCTTTCGCGACCGGCTCCGCAGCATCCGAAGAAAGCGATGATAAAGATAATGGTGCCCACGGCTACGAGGAGAGAAGGCACCGAGAAGAAACTGTTGTCGAGGAAGTGCTGGTACTGGTGAAACGCTCCGAGAATTAACAAGCCTATTGACAGCATCACCATTCCTGTAATCTGAGGACGGACAATCACGTAGTGTATGCACGGAGAAAAGAAATTTCGTCATTTTTATATATGGACATATTCTATATATGACGTTTTATATATAATTATTATTAAATTGTATATGGACAATTTTCTCCCGGGATCAGAATGTTGCCGCAATATTGCCGCAATTTTCACGGTATCGGATCTTGTAAGGGTGCGTTCGGGGAGCACGCTACTAGTGCTGACTAACGCTACGAGTCATTCTATCTTTGTCGTATATCTAATGCGACGCAAAGATGAAAGACGCGTTAGTGCTGATAACGTGCTCGCCGAACGCAGCTTATATGTTGACAAATTTTTTGGCGCACGAGGACGCATCTTAACGTATTTATGCTAATCACGATGCAGAGAGAATATACCGAAATATGTTTATCTGGATTATAACAATCCACGTGAAACAGAAAATGACCCGTGAAACTCGTTTTTCGATTATTTCATCATTTTGACGTAATTTTCTGTTCTATCTGGCGATATCGGGATTTTCAAATTTAGCGTTTCTCGGAAAAATTGAAAGAAAGGTGTGTAATCATCTCGTCAATCGTGTCGACTTTCTAGAATAAACACTTGTCTTTAAATTTTCACAAGGAGTCGCATGTCACAATTGAATTTTGCATCTGTGAGAAAGAGGTATCATAAATGGAACGCTCTTCATCAACAGCTGCGGTGTCCGAGCGGTTAAGGAGATGGACTTGAAATCCATTGGGTTCTACCCGCACAGGTTCGAATCCTGTCCGCAGCGAATTTTTTTTCCTCCATTTTTTTTTACAGAACATGATCACTGATTGTAAAAATAAACTGTTAAAGAAATGCAGGAATATCCGCTCAGTTGCGAATTATATCGATGCTTATTGCGCCGCGTACATTGTCACGTGTCTAAAAGCCGCTTATCTAAATTTCCATTGGAAAATGATTGAATATTTCCGAATAAGTTCATTTATTAATAGAATCTCGATAATGCACCCCGATTACGCCGATTTATTACTTAAAAATGGACCAACTATTATCGAGCTGTTTGTAATTTACTGGACTGAGTTCACGCATTTACCGGCAATTTCGCGGATTAATCTCAATGGAGTCGTGATATATGAATCCTAATGAAAAATACGAAGGAACGCCGGAATATAATCGTGTATAAATCCTGTTGTATAAATAAATAAGAAATAATGGCTAGTGCGAGAGGAAAAGTTATCTGTGGAACTCAATGATCCATATAAACATTTTGTCGCTCAAATGTGTCATGTAAATTTTTTTGACCATTTAAATATATCATATAGCGTTTTTATTCTCTAAATGTGCATTGTAATATTTTTTATCTCTTAAATGCATCATATAACTTTTCTGTCCCAATCGGCAATGTTCGCTATTAATACTCGTCGTGATCACTTTCGTCTTCTCTCAGCCGCGGCGAAAGCGGTCTCTCGGCTCTGATGTCGCTCGTTACAAGCATGAAAATCAAGAAAAGAGACGCATCGTTTCAATAGGGATTCCCATCGAGCCTATCTCACGTAGGTCGTTTCGTTGTAAGTTTTCCTATCTAATGATTCATCGACTCGCGGTCTTCTTCGCTGAATAACCCAGTACGACGTTGCAGCCGATCTAAGCGTTTAATTAATTCTCTACCAAGCTTACACGTGCGCCTAAATCGAGCCTATATCTTCGGAATGAAGCGCGAAAACGTGCACTTTATAAATTAAATTACATACTTTATAGATTTAACTACATAGAAAAAAGTGCTAAATAGAAGTAAATAATTGCTCCAACACTCCTTAGGAAATTTTTATTCGGATTAAGTAAATTTTACTTCAAATCAAGTGAATATGGTGAATCAAGTGAATATATTTTACTTGAATAATTTACATGGAAAATACTTTATTTGGATCAAATAAATATTATTACAAGTAGAAATATTTGCTAATAAGTATTGAAGTACTCCAATTTAACTTTATCACGTTATTATTATTTATTTGAATCCAATATTTTTTTTCTATGTATGTTCAGTCACGAAAAGGTCGCAACAACTTTTATTTTACTAGTTTCGAAACACATTCCATGTCCAACAGGAGAATTTGTATTTCAGTAATTTTCCTATCGGACATGAGATGCGTTGCGAAATTAATCAAAAAAATGTTGCAACTTTTTTGTGACTGACCATACAGGTAAAATATGGAAAACCCAACTCTCTCCCCCTCCCCCCTTCCTCGTCCCTCTATTTCTCTCTTTTCCCTGAGCAGATATTTTCGTGCACGTTGTTAATTCCAGACGGCAATACGTTATCTGCTCCCGTCGCCAGGCTGAAGTATCTGTCAGATAATTAAACGATGCCGCGATGGTTTGCGCCATAAATGTTAAAGGTTAACGCAGAAACCGTGCATATCGTAATATGTGTTTATTATCAGTATTTCCGAGCGAGCGTCGTGCAAATATTTGCTCCCCGGCAAATATTGAAAAATGTGCGTGCTGTGCATGCACGAGGTCGTCGCCGAATACCGAGAACACGTTACACGTATATGGAATCGGGTGTCATTTAAAAATGGACCCTACGGGCCACGTGACTCCATTGAGCTTTTGAAAAGTCGCCCGTGGAGGCCGTTACCTACTCGCGCTCACGGCAGTGTCGTCGGCGGAGATCGCGAGGGATACGCGGCGATTCTTCGTCTTCTCTTCGCTCGTGCGCGGCTAACAACGAGCGAAGCTTCGATTAGATTTCAGAGTCAATTTCAACTCCGCTCAACGGTTCGGCCGGCCGACCTTGCGGCGAACGACGCTCCTCATCGAGGACTTGTCGCCTCCGTCGGGCGACCGAGCGACCGTCGTTGCTTTTGCGCGTGATCGGTGGATCATAGGTGTCCTAGAAGTAATTCCAACTACGAAGAACATACATATATCGTATATCGATAGAGCAGCTCGATATAAAGTTCACGACGCAGCGCGCGCGCGGATCGGAGCGCGTTGCCACCTCATCGCTCTCCGCGGGAGGAACGCGCGACGTCAACGTGTTGCGCCGAAATGCATGATCGATACGCCGTGTGTGTATACTCACCACGAATAGAAAGTTAAAAGCGAACATCAAATACTTGATGGTCTTTGGCGCCAAACTCAGTGGTAACAACGCCATGTTTGTCGCTGAAAGTTCGTCTAGAAACGCAACAAGACACACTCGTAATTCGTCCTTTACTGTCTTTCTTCCTCTCTCTCTCTCTCTCTCTGTCTTTCTCTCACTCACTTTCACGCTCTCTCGCTCTCTCCCAGCGTCGCGTGCGCGCGCACAAACGATCTGCTATCGAAAGCGAGTCGCGAACGAGACTGAGCGATCGAGGGCACGAAAAATGCGACGAAAAAAGGCCCCTTAAACCGGAGGAACGCGCGCGGTCCGACGCGACCAACCACGACGACGTGTGCGCGTGTACGTGTGCGTGCGGAGTGCGACGTCAAAACTTGACTCGCACACGGACACACACACACATTTACGATCGCGTTGGTGCCAATTATCACTTTTATGTACATATACGTACATATACGTACAGTCGTGCTTTCGTCGTCTATACGGCGGAAACGCACGAACCGAACGAAGGACCGGACGAAATCTTGCTCTGACTTGCTAATCATTCGTTTCGAACGCACATCTCCGCGGCCAATCGGTGTGCACGTTACGTATGCACGGTGTGAGTGCGAGCGCGTATGTGTGTGTGCGCGCGCGCGCGCGCGTCGGTATTGCTCGCGCACGCGCACACCTGCCGTCGATCCGCGACGTATGGTACAGCCAAGGTTATGAAACTTGAAAGGTTGTTCTCGGTCGAGACGATTTTTCGAATACGGGAGACGTACGGGAACGTTCCTCGCGGCACATCGGCGCGTGTGTTGGCGGTGACACGTGGCGAGATATTCATCGGAAAGCGAAACGACCTTCCCCGTATCGAGCTATCGATAGTTACCGATGTGTGGCGGTTAGAAAGGGAGAGGCTTGTTTTAGCGTTCGACAATGAGCCAATCGGCGATGCGAATCGGCCGGGTGTCGTAAGTGAGCTTTTAAATCGACGGAGGACGCTTCGTTTGGAATTTTACTTTCGCGCATTCCTTTTCTCTCTCTCTCTCTCTCTCTCTTTGAAACGTATCATTGAAGCTGCGTTCGTTTTAGGCGCTCACGCGCTGTTAGCCTCATTCTATCTTCTTTCATTTCTGTCGCAGCCACGCAATTTAACCGTCGCTTAATCGGAGTTCGATGCAACCGAGACTTAGAGGACTTTGTTTTAGACCGACAATAAAAGTCTTTATCCATCCATCTATCTCTTTTTCAAATATCATATTGGCGCAATGTATCGTAATGCAACGCCGTCGCTGTTGTCCGAAAGGCAACAGTTGCAGCTGCAGCTACAAATCTATACTTGAGAATCGAACATGAGCACCTTCGATTTTATTGAACTCGATGTACTCGTTGTACATTTATATCGTAATCACGGAGATATGAAAGTTGCATAGGTTACGAAGTGAAGTTAGGCGAGGTAAACCTCCGAGCTCGATTTATTTAAAGACTCCACAACTGTGTAATATTATCTCTTTACGAACACGCTCGATAAATGTCGCCGCAATTCTACGCAAATAATTGTATACCATTTTTTTGCGTCTGCACTCGCTTGCATGAGCGCGTCCACGCGTGCGTGCGTGCGTACGTGCGTGTATAAGGGAGTAAATCGTAACGAGAACCCCGCGCAGGCTGCTCCCCCCCCCCCTCTCTCTCTCTTTCTCTCCATCAGCTCGCGGTTTCCGCGGAAATCTGCGGAAACTCGATCGCACTAGTTGCACAATGGCCGCGGTATCCGGTTCGGCCGATTACGTTCGGTTATGTCGTTAGTTATAGCCCGTGTAATCGAAACCGTCGAGGCGTAGAATATGGAGCAGATCCAACGTCGCTAATGTAATATTCGATAGCCGTGTGCTCAAGGGTAACACTTGACACATATATCTCCACCGCACGTCCGGACGTACTTCCCGACGCGAGTTATTACCCGGCGTGGTACGATATCGGTATTAATGATGTCGACGATCAACCTCCGTGACACAAATATCCGCCCTATATCGACGTCCTTTCGCAACTCCGAAGCGAGGCGCAAAAGGACAGACTCGCGAATTATATTCGACCGTCGCGGAAACTCGGATTTTCCGCACAGTCTTGACCCTCGACGAATAAAATATCGGCATTATTTATTTCGACGGCCTTAGGCGTCGGGGGCGCTTACAAAAGCTCAAGCAACAGAGGAACCGATCAATTACGGACGAGCATTTGGAAATGGTGATTTTACGATCTCTCGATATCTCAATCATCGACCCGGCCGTGATTGGTTGTTCGGCCTGCCGCTTTATCTCCGCCGATGAATTATTCGACTAGCGACGATTGGAATATAAAGCGAATCGGTGAACAAGATTGGTTGCTTCCCAACAAGAGACACAAATTGATACAAGTATAACTGTGTCATCGTTTGTCCGCATTTGGTAAAGAAAAAGATAGTACCTAAACAGGATGGAAAGTCATACAAAAGTTAAGATGATATCAGAATGACGCCGGGAAGTGATCATTTGTAGAAAGTCAAAGTGATGTCATTGAATACTTTAAATAGAACGATAATTTCGCTTTTTCGTGACTGCATTATGATTTGTCAATGGCTTTCTTACTTACGGAATGTCATAGAACGCCTTTAAATCCGCCACACTCAACTGTTTATATTTCTTCTGGTTTCCGATAAACACTGCTAGTATCGGAAATCTATAGTTCATGTCACGTATATTGTAGATTTTTAGTGTTGCCAGTGAATATTGGAAAACAACCTAAAAATACACAATTATTTCTTACAAGTAAATTGTTGTTGCAAAAAAGTTTTAGTTGCCATATTTAAAGGTATAGTAATTACAATTTTTAATTTTAACTAGCTATATATAAGTAAAATTATTTTTATTAATAATTACAATAAATAGAATATCGTTGCACGAACAATTTTCTATATGGTTACTAACACGTGCAACTTAAATATATTGAACGAACAGCTTATTTGGAAAGAATTAAATCTGTAAATTCCAAAGTTGTAATTGATCAATTTTTCGTCACGATCAGAAATTACCTTTGAAGGTCATTTTACCGTCATTTCGACGTTTTTATTGTGACTTTTTTGGTTCCGCTCGGGTAGACGATACAATTAGACATGCGTGTGAACTTGTGTCTCTCGCTAAAAAGCGAGCATTGCAATTTGAAAATTCACGGAGCAGGAGAAGCCGGGCATAGTTCGAAGGGTGAATTTTCCGTTTCTGCCGTGCGCGAAGGGCCGACTTAACTACGGCCTGTTGCGGGCGTTTAGAGACGAAGCCGAATACAATGTGGCCCTGAAGCGGGATCGAGCGCGCATACTCCTACCGCGCATTTTATATTCATATATATTTAGCTACTGCGTACCGGTCGTGTAGGGGTTGAACGCGGTCTGACGTGGCCGACATCGCGGAGAGAATTCTCCCCCTTCCGTCGCGCGCGCGCGCGGGGGGGCACGTACTCTCTCACGCGAAAACACAACAGTGCGTAAACTCAAATGCCACTCTTCCACATATGATCAGTGACGGAAAGTTTGCGATACTTTGACACCCGATGAAATTCGGGATTCCCGTCCGACGACGACGTCCGATGGGAAAATTCAAATTCCGAAAAGCCAGATTCTGCCAGCGTCCTAAAACAGAAAACAATTTTTATGCTGAAAAACGGTCCATGGGACACTTTACTTTAACACGGGGAACGTGTTAAAAAGTATACAAATATAATGTTAAATTAACACATTCACACCTCGTTAGCGTAATTGTCAACTTGTTAACGAGATAAACGTGTCAATTTAACATCGCGTTTGTGTACTTTCTAACACGTTCCCCATGTTGAAGCAACAAAAAATCTCAGACGGATGTTTTTGCATTCTTTTACGGATGAGTTGCGAAACTCATTGAGAGAGAAACGGGACACGACCTTTCCGCCAAATGGCGCGAAAGCGAAATTCAAAGAGCGACCGGCTGATCTCTCGTTCGATTTATCGCGTCTCGTCGGCTGGAGAACGCGCGTCTCCATTTGTCCGTCGCGTCTCTCTCTCTCTCTCTCTTTGCTATTGGCAGGCATAATCGTCGAGAGCGGATGACCGATCGTTGATTTCCTTACTGCGTCTTTGCTGTTCGCTCGCGCGTGGACGAGGAATAACGTGGCGGAAAATGCGACCGTTACAGTCGCGGTGCATCTCGTCATCCATCGTTTCCATCGTACCGCGCGAACGGCGTGAAAACCGCGCGCGAATTTATTATAAGGTTAACGGCGCCATCGTGAAACAAACTCCGCGGTATTTTTACGCGCGCCTGAACTCCGTCTCCGATGCGGCAGACGAAGTCTCTCAGGCATTTAACATAAACATTATGCACTTATATTTAGAAGATCGATAATACGTTTAGGGCAAATGTCAAGACTAATTTCCCCTTTGACGGGGGAAGCGCGTACGGAGCATTATATAACGAGCATTGATGCCGGACGGGGATTATTGCGCAAATATTGTCGCTCGGTCGAGTTCCTTAAATAATGTTTCTTCCGCGCGCCAAGTGCATTCCCAAGTAACACGTACGTACGTCCGAAAGACACCTCGAAAGTGTCTTTTAAGCGGTATCTGCAATGAAAATTTCAGACGTATAATTTCAGTTTTTACGACGTCCTAGTACATCTTAACGTTATCTGGGTTCGAATGCAAATTAAAACGATTTTCGTTCCGCTTTTGAGTAAAAACGGTGGTGTAAAAGTTGCAAAAGCGTGTGTGGTTTTTTTTCTTTCTATTGACCCGCAACACGAGAGAAAGGATATGGGTCTCTAACTCCGGGAAAGTATTATCAATATTAATTCGCGTGGCTGGCGAAAGAGAGAGAGAGAGAGAGAGAGAGAGGGAACATACGCGGGAAATAACGCCGCGGGTGAAATTGCGCGCGGCGCAATTTTGCGGAGTATCGGACACACGAAGCCCCGGGTTCCTCATCAAAACAATCGCGTCGTTTCCACGCTATCCTCGGCAGAGTCGCGGACAACTGAAAAATGCGCGCGTGTGACGTGTATATTTAGTGGAACGCCGACAGAGGATAGCGTCAAAGCGTCGTGTCAGCATCATAATTCACGACGTGTAGGCGGCACGATACCTCGTTCATTGCACTGCCTCTCCCTCGACCAACGAGCGGCATTAATGCGTGCGATTGTACAGAAGCAATCGGTGGCACTTTTGAATATGTGTGTCACATTAAGAGAATAATACAAAATTTCATTTCAGTTATCTCGCCTGTCATTGACGCGATCTTCGTGCGGAAAAAAATACAAGAATACGACAAAATTACCGATATATTATTGAGAAATTATCGTTAAATAATATATCAGTAATTCTCTCGTAATCCTGTAAGTACGGATCGCGAGAGTCGTTCGTTCGCAAATTTGTCGTTTGCGACGTGAACGGGGCTGACGGCGCGATTTTCCGACGCGATTGTGCGAAATCTCCCGATTCACGGGATGGTATCGGGGAATCAAGGATGATGGAAGAGGCGTACGTAATATGTTTGCGCGGCTGAATTGTCGATCATCCTCGGCTCCCGCCATGACACACCGCCCAAGTGCAACGCGCCGTTGCGTCGAGTTGCGTTGCGTTGCGTCGAGGTACGACGCGCAGGTGCGTAGCATTCGAGCGTCGCGGCGTGCTCGGACCTCCCGGGCCCCTCGATCGTCGTCGAATGAACGTGACGTTCGTCGGCGTGCTCTGCGAGAAGGGAATAATAATTAGAAGAAGTATGTCGAGAGTGCGTTCCACTCCGTTGATCAGCTTGCTTCATCGGAGACTCTGAAACTTTCAACCGAATATCACTCTTGGCAATGCTCACACTGCTTTATCCCGTGATGATTTGTTTTAATAAGAATATTTATATTAATATAAATAATAATGGTAATATAATATTAATATAAATAATAGTAATATTAATATTTACACAAAAGGGAGATTAGAAAATATGACCTAATTAATAATTTGTCGTTCAGTGGTAACTAATTTACGTCTATGTTGGCAAAATGGCACAAGTAACATCCCAAGCAGAATTTTCTCATTTCTAAAAGATCTCTTAAAGACGTCCGAAAGATATTTAAAAAAAGTAGAATGTCTCCTAGACGTGTTTAAGACATCTTTTAGAAATTTATTCAGTCCGGGATTTGACTAATAATAATTTTAAATATTGATTCGAAAAGAGAAGAAAAGAATCTTCCTATTCGTTTTAACAGTGAACTGTCTTTTATTGTCAACGTTGTTAACTCCGCTGGCTAAATCAATCATCGATTAAATTAGAACTTATTGAAAGTCACTCTAAGATAGTGTAACTTTACGCGTCAAGCATTAATGATACATGGTGTACATTATGATGTGAAACTTAAAATAATCGTTCCGCGAGATCAATCAGCTTAACATTGTTTCCTCCTCAAAATGATCAACACTTAATCCTTCCTCTTCGCATCCCAATCGCGTCGAGAAGAAAAAAGAAAAACACTGGCTACTCCACTACCACGGGGCCTCCGGGCGCGTGATCACGGTCCTGGTCGGTCTACCGTCGGGCAGATGCGCGCGCATCTCTGGTGTACACCGCGCAACACAAAAATACATTGTCCGGAACACTTGACGGCGGGCAGTCGACGCGCGAGCATCTCGACGCACGGTTTCGTTGGCGTAGCTACAGGAGCGAAAGAAAGAGAGAGAGAGAGAGAGAGAGAGGCAGGGACCAGTGAAAGACGGGGTTCGAGCTCTCGAAGTGAGGAGAAGGCAGATCGGCGTGCATCGTTTCCGGCTCGCAAACCAGGCGAATACAATCCTCGCGACGTCGATTCGGTGATTCGCGTGGCTCGTTTTCTTATTCGTAAACAGTGCGAGAATAACAGTACAGTGACGAAAATGGTGTCCGGCGGTATGGCTTGCGTCAAGTACTTGCTGTTCCTCTTCAACCTGATCTTCGCGGTGAGTACGTTGTTTTGATCGGCGCGTCGCCCCGTTTCTCCTCGCTCTCCCGGCCCGCTCGCCTGCGAGCTGCTCGAAGACGAACGAAGGCGCCGAAGTCCCTCTCGCCGGGACGCGCTATTCTCGGCGTCCCGACCCGTCCCGCCGAGACCTATCGCACGCGGCGTCGCGACCGCCAGGCTTTGTTATATGTCGGTCAAGCCTGGAACAGCGTCTGGGGATCCGCTAATCTCGACGTTGTTCAACGTTGTTGAACTAGACGCGACTGTACCGCCCGGCGCCGTTCGAGACGAGTGATTTACACGATGAATCATCGATCATCCGATTAACCCGTACAAAGTACAAAGGTGTAAAGGAAGAAATGTAATCTCAGATAGAGGTGGATTTTCGACGACGTACCGAGCATTCGGGAGGAACTCGAGATGCGGCCCTTCGAGATGCGGTTCCTCCGACCGACGTCGTCTCAAATTCGCGGTCTACGACATGTTTCGAGCGAGTGACGCTTTTTTCCACTTCTTACCCGCGCAGGTGTTCAGCGGAAAAGTCGGAATTGCGATGAATGTTCACCTGGCATTTCGATCGTCACGTTTATTATCGCCGGCGTTACGTTTGTTTCGTTCGTGTGAAACGCTATATGGTAACCTGATGCAATGCTGGTATAGTAAGCGGATATGTACACAGTGGCGTTTACAACACGTAACTCGACAAATGCGAGAGAAAGAGAGAGAGAGAGAGAGAGCTATCGCCGACATCTCGTCCGCCGCTCGCGTGTCTGGCGTGTCTTGCAAAAATTCTCGCCGCCCCGGTTCATTCATATTTCACCCCTCGTGCAGATGTTACGTAGCGTGACCGAAATGACAGACGCACACACACTCATACGCGCGCGCGTTTTTTCCGGATAAATAATATAAACACGAGGGTATCGTCTCTCGAAGGAAACTTCGCGGTGCTCAAGCTCGGCGGGGCCTCGGCGGACGTGTTGTATGGAAACGATCGATACTTGACAACGTTTAACGCAATCTAGAATTCTTCGCCCGGTCGACACAGGCGGTGTCACCTCGGCGAAATCGCGGATCAGATATGAAAACAAGAAGTGGGAACATAGGGATTACGATCGTCACGCGGGTGGCGCGTTTTCCCGCGTACGGCGAAATGTTCGTCGCCGCGGCGAGTAACGTCGACGCGCGAATTGCGCGCGAGCAAATAAATAATATTGACACGGCCGGGGATCAAATGGAAACATTAACTTCGACGGGCGTGCACGCGCGATAATTGAACGAGCGGCTCCTCTCGATTTAACGAGTTTCCGCGGCGCGCGCTCGCCGAAAGCTCCGCCGGCCGCCCGAGAGGAATCGGAATTATTAATCGACTCGTGACGACGGAAAGACACGTAGGGAAGAGTGCTCGTCGTCGGGAAATCGTTAAAAATGAACGACGGAGTCGCGCTGAGAGCTGCGATTCGCGGACGGTTCGCGCGCGCGCGCGCGGATAAAACATCCGTAGGACGGTTGGAAGGATCTAGGACAAAAACAACCCCGCAAAGGACGACGACACGGGGCCAGAACGGCGGGGCCGGTATATCTCCCCTTATTGCACGTTTAATGATCCGTCCGGCGTGAAATGCCAGCGCGGCGACCGCGTTTGTACCCACGGGGTGTCCCAGAAAGAGTGTGTAAAACGGACAAAGAGCGTTGTTTCTTGTGCGGCCGGTCTCGCCCCGCTGAGAATTGCCGAGGAACCGACCGGGGAGATATATATCAGCGTTCGCAATCCGCGCCTGTGAATTCCGTCCGCGATATACATTCGAACGATTAGATTTCGCATTTGGAAATTCTCTTCTCGAATTACCGGCTAAGGATTTAAATGACGAGTAACGTTGAGTCATCCAGCGGCAGTGTCTTCCACCTCTTCCCGAGCGGACGAGAAATATGCTGAGCAGCATAGTGTGCGAGTGTTTATACTTTTACGATGCCACTGCGACACAGCACGTGTTTAAAAATACGGCTTATCTTAAGAAACACTCGCTGCGCCATCATTTTAACGAAAGCACTTGACTTCTTATCGGTACAATAATTTAGGATCAATTGCGTCCTCTTCCGGGCGAATTAAGCAGCAATGTTCGATGATTCCATTCGCATACTGACGGGCATTCTTGTTGCACGCGGGAAAAAATTCATCAAGAATAGATATTCTCATATATAAGCAAGAATATCGCAACGCTTTTAGTCTTGATTTGATTGAATTTGCATCGATGCAAGTATCACTCGCTCCGAAGATTCAAGATTAAAAATCTTCGAAGAATATCATAATATTCTTGCTTATGTACATACGAGAGTATCTATCGTTAATTTTATATTATTATTTCTTTTGTCTATGAGAATGCATCTTAACGTATTAATGCTACTCACGATGCAGGCGATATACGAAAATATGTCTTTCTGAGTTCCTCTTCGAAAGAAGAAAAGAGAAATTCGCGAGAAATCCTTTGTTCTGGACGAGCCGGGGGCCCCGCGACGTTCTTCGCCGAAGGGAAAAGGATCTCGCCCTAAATTTCGCGATAAATGACGCCATGCGTTCGCTTTACATCCTTCTTTTCTGGGGCACCCCGTGTAGGCCGCCTTTGGGTCGTCCTCGTTGCTGAAACTTTTCAATAAATTCATACTTAAAGTTCACCCAGCAGTGGCGGTCACCTGTTAGCGTTACGAACGAGCGAGTTTTAGCGAGCTGCTAGTATCTAGGACTTCGCTCGAGGGTGAGCGAATCGACCGGTCTCGGTTTCGGTTTCGTAGCCTCGAGGTGTACATGTGAAAGAAAGAGAGAGAGAGAGACGCGCACGTAAAACGTAGGTGAGAGACACGTAGGCCGACAAGACACACGTAGGTAACGGAGACAAGGGGAGAGAGTCTATACTCTCTGGCTGTGTCTATCGGCGGCCTACGAGCGATGTCGCAGCCGCCTTTTTCTTTCCGGCCATAGAATGCCGCTCGGCCGTCGTCGTCGTCGCTGTTCGCGCTGGATGTCTTTATTTAGATAGATCCAGCGACAGGACGTCGCACTGCGATCAATTTCCGGTCACGACTTTGACAAGAGAAGCATCACCGCGATCTGAGGCGGCTGCTACAAAGAGGAACGGTTTTTTTGTTACAAATGCACAAAATGATCGCCGGATTTATGAAAATTATCCCGCGTTTCATTCGGACGCGATGATAAGACAGGATCGACGGGGTGAATCTTTCGGGGATTTTTCTTTCCCGAAGCCTCATGCCTCTTGAAACGAATCATTCCTACGTACGGTTTTTACGTACTCTTTGCTCCCGAAATTCTCCTTTGCGATTCCTCGATATGTTCTCGACGTTGCAGGTGTATTTTCAACTGTTATGGTATTTCTTCGGTTTACGAAATATGTTTGTACCACCGAGCGGAATTCCTTGCGTGCGGCGAATCTCGATCGCGATAACGCTCGAAATTCGTTCTCACATAATTGTCACGTTGAAAGCCGTTCGACGTAACTGTGACACTTCTACTTCCTCCTTGGTAAACAATGCAGCTCTTGCGCGATCACACCTTCCACTTAAAACCGAGCTATTAACGGGAGAAAGGTATTAGATACCTGACCTAATTACTCAGGCTGCTCATCGTGCAATTCATTGAATTCATCTCGGAATGGAAAACTGTCTCTACTCTCTTTTTTTCTAGAGGTAAAAAACCATTTCTGGGCTTGACGAGAACGGTGAAACTTTCATCGATGATATCTTTGCGTCGGCGCGAGAACCGATTTTATTTATTTTTCGAATGTCGTATCGTAGACTTAAATCAGTAAGTTCCACGGTCAATAATGACTACGGATAAGGATTTTCACTTTAAAAGTACGTTTCACGGTGAAAGTGAGCGCTACTGTAACATGTGAAAGGATACGCGGAACAATGCAGGATGTTAACTTAGCCGTGCGTTTTTAAATGACTCGTGTTGAAAGGAGGGAGGAAACACAAGCACTTTTTGCCGCTCATGCAAAGATAAGCGTATCTTTGTGCAATTTCTCCTCATAACTTTAAGTTAATTGCAAGAAATCAGTTCTCATGTATCATTCCAGGTCACCGGCATCGTATTTATATCCGTGGGTGCCGTGATCCTGGTCGCTTACAATGGGTACAACAACTTCGTGGACAGCTGGTTCTTCGCGGCACCGGTTTTGATGATTATCGTCGGTGTCATAGTCTTCCTCGTGTCATTCTTCGGATGCTGCGGCGCCGTGAAGGAAAATCATTGCATGATAATCACGGTATGGCACTGCAACATGCTACTTTCCGTCATCTTTCTCGCTTGTGCGACGCGCGTAAATGTCGCGACGAAAAGATAGAAAACGACGCGATCGATTAATCCCGATGAAAGCTACTGTTGTGCACGAGTTTACGCCGTAAGACATCAAGTTCCGCCTATTTCATGTCCACTGTGCGATAATTGATCGGTAACTCTTACAGTTCTCAGTCTTGCTATTGCTGATATTCGCCCTGGAATTGGGCGCTGGAATCACCGGCTACATGATGAGGGGAGAAATCTCCAATATGCTGGAGAACCGTATGAACAGTACTATGCGGCAGTACGAGGAAAACAGGGATATCCGTAATTCATGGGATATTATGCAGCATGACGTAAGCGTTTTCACCGAATGGCCTATGCATAAAAATATATCACAACCGTGTGTTTCAATTTGACCTCTCGATCGCATGAAATATTTATTCCCACTCGCGTGAAATGTGTATTGTGAACCACCAGCTTCCGCCTAGATAAATATATTGATTTGATCGTACGTTCTTTTTCTGTATATTGATGGAGTTATGATTTCAGTTGCAATGCTGCGGCATGAACAGTCCCGCAGATTGGATCCAGTTTGGCTCAGAAGACAACACTATCCCCGAGTCTTGCTGTAAGGAACTCCCCGCTCAGGGCAAATGCGACGCGAACTCGATTCACCTTTTCGAAGACGGTTGCATGATGAGACTAAAAGCTGCTATAGAAAGTAGCGCTCTGATCCTGGGAGGAGTGGGCGTAGGCATAGCCATCGTACAAGTAAGTCCTAAGACTACCATTTTATGACCTCGACCGCATGCACGTTGATAGATTCTGATTATTACCGATTGTCAGATATATTAGAAGTATACGGTAGGATTTTTTTCAAGCGTATCTTAATGAATTTATTGTAACTAGTATTTTAATAAATTTCAATACACGGTACCAGGGCGCAAGCGTAGCCTATCGAGAAGAGAAGGGGAGAAATGACAAAACTGTAAAATGTGACCATTCATCTGTTTCAGTTGATCGGAGTGATCTTTGCGTGCTGTCTGGCTCGCTCAATTCGCCGCGAGTATGAGACTGTGTAAGCTGATAGACACAAATTTTCATTGCAACAAGCCTAAAATGCACCTGTATAAAACCTGGTCTATTATACACACATACCACACACATAAGCTGTCACTATATATCTTTTTATCCCTTATTTTCGTTTACCATTTAACTCTTACGTCCGTGCACAGTTATACATGAGGTATTTTCTTTTCTTTCATCGCTTGTGTACCTTTAACACGTTGCAAAACAAAGGAGACGTTTGTGATTATTGGTTCTTCGTTACGAAGTGCGTGATGAACATACAATTTAAAGATCTCCAAAGAAATCTCACTGCTACTTTGATATTTGGACCTTGCCTCGTCTACGGGCACTAAATATCACACTTGTGCACACACGTTTTGTATGTTTTTACAATAAGATCTCGGAAAAAAAAATCCTATACATACATTAACGATAACAGACTGTCTGTTATTCAAAGATTATACGATATTTTCTCTTTTTTTTTCCTTTATAAATGTACAATCTGATTAGTTCAGTGTCATTGTGATATTGTATTATAGTTGAGCCACGATAACCGTGATATATCATGATCGAGAAGTTACATATAAAGCGCAAGTTATTTCGAAATACGTTAGAAGCTTCTTCTGTTTAACGTCTGCTTCACGTGACTGTTCAGCTATTAACAAAAGTGTACCTTTGTTGTTCTCCTGTGTCTTTTGCTTCACACTATTTCGCATGGCGCAATATACACGGACATTGTTGTCGAGGCTCCGCTATAATACCGAGCAATATCATCTTTAAGTTGCAAGAGTATCCGTGTCTCTTAGTACTTTATTTTGCTTTTCGATTTGATCAACATATGTATTCACGGAATCGAGAATTTATATTTTATTTCATGTATTGTACACAGTGAACACGTGCGCACGCGCGCCAAGAACCCATCTAGATCTGTGGCTGTATCATTACATAATACACGCTCACTTTTCCGTTAGATTTACCAAACGTCTCGAAAAATGATTAAGTATTCGGAAAAAAGATATTCTACTTGATTTTCTGACGTGCGAATACAATTCACCAAGGTGGAATTGAGACTTGTGGCTCTGAGCCATCGATTAAGTAGTTTAACGTTAACTGTCAGAATAACAGATGACAGGGTAGTTAACAATATTGACACGTTGTTGAATGCCGCGATGGTTATCGGTGATCGACACTATGATATTACTGTTTGATTCCTCATGAAGTTTCATATAATAAAGTGCGATTAATTGTATCTACAAAATTGGTCGTACAACCAATAGAGAGTGAATGAATGAAACGGGATGCAAAAGGTATAAGAAGATATACGCATCTTAAATTACCTTGATTAATTCGTACCTTCAGTCATTCAATCGTCTGTGAAAATTTTTTGCGCGATTAATCAATGCGGCAGTCAAACGTGCAAAATAAAGTGTCAAGATACATATATACTGTCTCAGCATTAACTCGGTGGTGTATGATGAAGGGCATTTCTTTTATTGCATGTTAATCCATTCTAAGGAAATCACGCTCGAACAGATTAATAAGATTTATTGTGCTTAAAAATGTGAGGCGCAATGAAACTGTGATTGAGAGTAACATGTGTCAATGCGCAATTCGTTCTTGTTTTTTTTCTCTTTGTTTTCTTAGTACACATCTAGTACACATCTATCTCTCTGCTAGATGATACTCTTTGAAGATTAATGAAAAGCTTCCTCGTTTAACAAACTAAAAGAAGTAAAGGAAAGTGTTAGACTCTATTTACAATTGCATATTAACTACACGTATATGCTGCGTTTCAGATATACAAATAAGAAATACCATATATTTAACATTAAGATATTCTGTTGTTTACCACAATGTAAAGTTTACATAGTGTTACAATCATGAAAAATGTCTTATGAGATGTATAGGTATATAGAAATAGAGATGAAAATGAATAGTTGTTCATGTTATATATGAATTATCTCAAACGAAGAGTAATTCATAAAAAGAAAAGTTATACCAATGAGGCCATTTGTGGTTAATTGAACTTGAAAGAGAATTCATTCAATTCGTTGATCGTAAACAGCACAAACTTGGCAAATTATGAATATAAAACATGTGTTATATATTAACGTCTGCATTTCAATGCCGTACAATCGTATAAATATCGTGAAGTTATATTTTGTTTTTCGTTGTTTGTATCATATATATACCATGTATCGCTTAATATATATACATATATATTATATGCTGTAATACTAAATGTTTCTCAATCGTTTTATGTTTGATGCCTAGTGATGTAATATTTTTACTTACAGCGAAACCACAGCACACTGATCTGCCATCAATTAGGAGGCATTTTTCATAATATTGTTCATCATACATTGGTTGATAAATACTTAGATTCATTACGATAAATACGTAGGTTCATTACGACCGTAATCATTCTCTTATTGTGCTTACAATTATACATATACATATATACATTCAAAGAGGAATGATGTCACAAGTATTTAGTGTGTACAGTGGTAACTTAAGTTAGTTACGTCTCGGTGTGTGATTTGTGTGAAATTACATACTTTCACGAAGAGAACAAGAGAATTGGCAACTTTAACGCTCTTGCTCTTTTATATATATATATAAAAGAGACAAAAAAAAATAAAAAAGAGGACACGCATTAAATATTGATATTTTCTATCAAATTTAATATCAAATTACTGCCAATATCTGCCAAAAGTATACATCATCACTTGCCATAAGAAGCAATAAAGAAAAACGAACGTGAAAGACGAACTAGTCGAAATCGTATACGATCCGATTGACAAGGAATTACCTGATAGAATGTTGATCAATTTCGGCACATATACGACACGAATAAGTGCCTGCTAAACGATGTGCCATGCTACAATGTCTGACAGATATATTTTTTTCACACGATGCGTTTGTACATTGAAGAGTTTTGGTAATGATCTTTTGCGCATTATATATGCGATCATTGTGTATTTATCATTATAAGAGGTAGTGTTCAAACGCAGCCATCATTCCTCTTGATTTTTCGCCAGACACACAAAGAGAAAAGCATAAAAAGCAAAAAAGTCGAAAAACACGATGACGAGCTGTTTCTGCATAATCTTCCTCGGAGTGCAGAATGGACGAATTATGTGTAGCGTTTAATTACACGGATAAACTTGTGTTCTGATAATTTAATACTACCCGTAAAAGTACATAGTTTGTATTGCGCAAATCGTACTCGAGTGTATGCAGTCTCGGCGTCTACTTTTCATGCCTCCTCATCGACATACCACAGTCTCTAATACTTATAATATATACGATGTGTAGTAATCTCTCGTGATTTGAATTTGTAACGATACTTTCGTGCTTTACAATGAGAGGAAAGACAGTGTACTCTTATTCGTAATCGACGGTGCCCCGTGAAATATATATATATANTATATAGAGTGTCGTGTAATATCGGATGTACACCAACAACAACAAAAAATTCTGTACGTTACGTACTAACGATGTAACAAAATTAGCGTAACTCGGCGTCTCGGGCTCGAGCTCAAATCGGGATGGAGCATCAAATGGAAGTTAGCCCTAGCTCTGTCCTGTCAATAATTTAGCTTGTAATGTCAGTGAACTCTGATATTGATCCTCTTGTGCTTCGTTGTACCGTATTACTACTCCGACAGTTCGTTTGCTGCCACAAAAATGGCGTGCTTGTTTAACGCTGAGTTCGTATTTGGGACCAAAGCAAGAAGATCAAGATTATTTTTTATCGACGAGAGTTGCCTCTGGCAAAAGTGAGCGACGTATTGAGAGACGATTACATGGCGATACGCCGGAAACCGAACTGAAATCGCTTTTTTCTTCTCGCGAGCTTCACTCGCAGGATTCTTTTTCCCAATATTAAGAGCTCGCCGTAATATTGGGAAAAGAATGGAATAAACGTCAAGCTGTGTCATATAATAACGCATTTCCGCTTATTTTCATTCTTGCTTCCATCTGAAGGAGAAACGTGTTTGTTTTTTTCTTGGGAATGTGACGCGCGATCGATACCAATTGGAAAACGTGACGAGATACTATTACATGCACTTGTATAACTACACCGGAGGTGCGAACAATGTGTTTCCTTTGGACTCGCGCCATGACAAATGGAGGAAGCGACTCGGAAATTTCACTGTGTCTTGTCGATTTCACGGATTCAAGTACTACAACGCGCGAATTGCGTCGCATAAGTTTCTGTAGTCTTGTGTATCCAATGCATAAACAGTTCTAACGTTACCCCGCTTCTCCCCGGGCCCTGCTGTTGGACATTCACTGAATATTTAGAATATTTACGTCTGAAAGCAAAAGAAAAGCCATGATGAACGTAATTGTCACGCAAGATTCTATATGTAAAAACAAACGGTACTGATATATTTGCTATTTTACAATGATGTTAAAGTGTATAATTTAAATTTACAATTGGCACCGACACAGACATACACGCAAATACATACATACAGGCGTACACATACACACACGTGTACACGCACACAGAGGACACAAGCATCACAAATAGCAAATGCACAAGATCTCAGAAACAAACGTGAACGTCCGTAAGATAACTTATAGTTGCAAAAGCAGATAGAAGTAATAGCTATGATATATGATAAATATTAAAGTGTGCCTAACATAGTGACGTTTATGTTATAAGTCGATAGAGATTAGCATGAACATTTCAATGATATTGTCTCTGTGCGCGGTCGCGCGCAAAAGGTGTAGCTTCGAAACCAGCACATGTCCAAAGTTTGTTCCTTCTTGATTATATAAAAATCATCCGTTTGTCAGGGATCTTGATTAAAATTTAGAGCTCTGTATGTATTAATTACTAGACAACGTAAAAGACTGACGAAGATTATTGTAATCAGTATTAACTAACATTGGTATTTTACATACAATATATATATATATATATATATATATATACATATATTATACATATATTATACATATATATAATATATATATATATACATACACAAACGACTTTGTACTAAATTCTATTTTGGCTGCTTACGTGTTATTTTTACTATAAAACGTAAATTATTAGACGGAGTATCGTTCAAGTGTGAGACACACGCAAACGTAATTTCGTTATTACAACGCAACTGATTTACGGCATTTTAGGAGCCAACATGTCCTTAGCACGTATTCATCTAGCCTTTATGTATACTAATAAACTTAATGACACCGAATAACGGCGTTTTTTTTACTCCAAGAGACCCTACCCTTCCTTCGCGAACTTGCCTCGTTAATTTTACATATTCAAATGTTTTGCAACACGATATTACAAAATTCGAGCATAATACAATCTATTTAACAAAGGTCAGGAACGGGTGAGAGTAATAAATATAGCGAGCGTTAGCGTATAATAAATTGTATATTTCATTTGTTATATCATTTAATTAAAAGATCGTTATTTATCAATATATAAGATCGACCTTCTTATACACTTGTCTCGTTTTCGACGTACACATTTTCTTTGTACACGCGAATTAAAGAGCGTTCACGGATCAACTTTTGTGTATGTGTGTGTGTGTGTGACACACACAGTCCGGCGTGCATACTGCAATTTTGGATCATCCGAACCGAGAGTGGACAAACGTGACAAACGGCTTTTTCTCTTTTCACATCCTTTTTTCTCTTTTTTTTTTCTTTTTTTTTTACAAGAGAGCGCAATGTGCCCCGCGATCTTACGACCGGGCCCGATAGAGCGTACTCCCGTTTTCGGCGTGACTATGTTTACCTAATGTATACACGACATTTAGAAATAACGAGATCCATTATGTTTCCTTAATGTTCTGGTAATTTTTTCGGATGCACATCATGGGCACATCATGTATATGCATTTATGTATAATGATCTATTTACAATCTCGAGAGACACACAGAGGAGTTTATTAATCACACATAACTACCGCCTGGAGCCGTAAAAAGTTTGAAATCTGCATACCGATTCGCGGAACCAACGAAGAGCCAATGATTTTGCCGACTAAATATGTTATAAGAACAAAGGGGGGGGGNGGAACGAAGAGCCCGGGGATATGGAAATTTTCTCCAGTTGTAGGAACTTACGCGAGCCGTGCGTTCTTGCGCGTGCATTCGACGCGATATTTACACCTCGCGAATTTTTCAGGACGAAAGAAAAAGATGTAAAGCAGTGCCTTACACTCTTTACACAATAAACTGTACAATATCGATGGTCGTCAAGCAAACTTTTCACCATAGCCGCGCTTCGCTATTTTCATATAAACTATAATTACACTTAGCCGATATCTTTTTAAGCGACTACCTACGTTTTAAAACAGAGATATGTACAAAGTGATTTCGTTCACCTTGCTCGTAACTGTCACGCGACATATAAAAGAACCACGGAAGAATCACTCAAGACATCCGATGCACCGTCCGACCGATGAAGAAAGACAATGAAGGTATTCAGTACGCTTTTTGAGTCTCGAATATGCAACGAAACTGATATGTAAGTATATCCTCTAAGGTACAATTAAATAATGCGGAAAGTCTGAGAGAACGCGTAGATTGCACCAACATCGCTCAGCGCGTCAGCCGTTTTCATGATATTTCCTTTTTTCTTCTTTCGCTATCTACATCATAAACTAGAACTAATATATATATACGATCTAAAATGGGATAAAGAGGAATTCGCTAATCAGAATCAATGTGAGTCAGGGCTCTATTGGTGCAATCGCCCTGGTGACGTTTCAATTTATACATACACACACACACACGCGCACACACACATACACACACAAATATATATATATATACATATATATATATATATATATATATGTATGTAGACAGAATATAAATTCAGGTTAAAGTTACAAGTTTCTCGAATGTTTCACCAGCATGAATGTACAGGAAATAATATTTATTTACAATTACAATATATTTTTTTTTCCCGAAGATGGGCCCAAACAGTCAGATTGCGTCCGCCGGCGCAAATATCGAGTATCCACGCAGTGAAGATCCCCCCCTTTTTTTTTCCCACAATCGTATCATGAACACAAAAAAGTAGTAGCGGTAGTTTTGTATCAAGTTAAATTATAGTTACACGTCGCTAGTCTACAGCTCGGGCACGAGACACCGTGTGTGTATGAAACATAATAATTTAAATTTAAGACAATTCAATACAAAAATATGGGAGTTCGATTATGGAGAAACGGGCCGCTATGTTCATTATCTTAACGGCTACGTATACCTATCAGTTACTTACAATTTAGATTATCAATATTGTTCATGTTACCATCTATTCTAGAAACATTATTAGCAGCGTCGGGTAGTATTGTTGATACACAATACGATCCATTTAAATACTATCTCATCGTAACTTTTAAGTGAAAAAAACTCCTGGTCTCTCGCCCATGCCCTAACGCACTGTTTTGAACACACTTGCACGCACATTCATTCGTCTTAGGCACAGTTACATACTCAACATAAAAGCACATCACAATCATTGTTGTCTGAGCTGATCTCAAACGGTCTTTGTGTGCTCACTTGTATTTCTTTTCTTTTCTCTCTCTCTCTCTCTCTCTCTTTTTTTTTCGTTTTATCCGACCAACGGCGATCATAGATAGAGATGTATACAGGCTATGTATATGAGACAAATTGTATGAGAGCAGCAGCGGATCGTTAACTTGGCATGAGACTAATAGGAGTTTAATACGAAGATAAGAACATGCTCATGTGGCATAGCGTTTGGTCCAAAGCCGTGCTATGCGATCGTGTTCTTCTCTATTTTGTAGATATTGCGTCGCTATACTGCCTACCAGTGGATCAGCTGTAAAAGCACAAAGTTACATGAGGCCGGATTTGCATTAGATTAGAGAAAATGCAAGATCCCGTGAAATCTAATGTTACAAATGAGACTGGACGGAATCATAAATATACCGTGTGTGAAATGCGCAATCATGCGCATGTCATGCATCAAATTCAAATGTATTATCATCATAATAATAGTGCATTCACCTGGATTACAGTCTGTTAAGAGGGAACATATTGACAGTAAAACTTTTGAGATCGTAAGTGCGGGAGACCAATTATCCTTCAATATGTCCAGGCAGATAACTCCTTGACTATTTATATTGCAATGGTAGATACGTGTTCGGAATGTAACCTATGGGAATAAAAATACGACCTTATTTACGAGCATGTAACATTGTACACTTTGCATATATTGTGTGGGTTTTAGGCTGCGTTCTCCTTGGCCGCTCTCGCGCTGTATCATTCTATCTTATTGTTCGTTACAAAAAGGATGGAATAATGCTTGTAGCGCCCATAGAGAACGCAGCCTTCGTGTCGTATGTTAAGGGAATACATAAAGTTGCAAATGAAAATGTAAATTTTTGTAAAGTGATGATTTCAAACGTGTAAATTATTTATTTGGAACGCAGTGCATGAATGTTTCAAGAGAAGACTTATCAACGTGTCAATATTCTTATCTTTATATTCAATGATTTCATATTCTTGTATAATGTGTTTCTTAATCTACACCATTGCAAGACAGCATAAACAATAAATCTACTTCTCAGCTTTCTTCTCAAGTGTATGATACCGATTTGACAAAAGATGATCACCACCCACCTTAGGAGGTTTAAAGGGATATTCCGGCGAAAAATGGATATCAAGAAAGAACACACCACCTTCGTAAACTGAACCCGGTGGACCCAATATAGTAGAGACCCACTCATACAGGTTATCACCTTTCGGTCCGGCACTGTAAAACATAATTTCTTTTGTCACACACCGTCCTCTGCATATACATAAGATATTAACACTCCTCGACTATCCGAATGACTAACTATCCGGGTTCTAAAGGTACCGTTCGAAAGAAAGTACGTTCGCATTGGTAATTCATGACAACCGACCTGCAATTCGGTGGTGGATCTAGTGTAATTTCCGCCAGTTCTTTTTGTATCCTGACAAAAACCAGTTAAATCAGTTTAATCGCTACAAATCGGACGAATATGCTTATCGTTATTACAATCGCAGGTACATCGCGTCACCTTTTAGCGGAGGTCCCTAAAGCTTTCGACATCTTTGGATTTGGCTTGGCCTCTTTACTTTCCGGCTTATTGTCTGCCAAGGAAGAACCGCGTCCTCGTCCAGTTCCACTGGATCCTGCTCCTGATGACATGGCTCTGCGACACAACAAATGCATACGCACTGTTACTCACGCATACATCCCTCCGGGTTACAGTCGCTCGCGATATAACAAACAAGTAAAACCGATTGGTGTGCACCACGAACAGGCAGCATTGAGCGTGACAGTACAAGCACACAGGCTGGCTTGGCTCCGACTGGCACTTGCAAGATGTATTCTCACAAGGGACCATGCGTCGCTTGTGCACTTGACAATCGCGCCGATGCTGCTCTGTGTTCCAACGGACGCACAGACCCTCGCGAGACGCGGCTCGGCTACGGGAAGAATGATCGCCGAGGTGCGTCTTGTTCATTCGTGCGAGTTACCGTCACGTGTGAAACGAGAGAGCCGAGCGAGCGAGCAACGAGCCGCCGCTTCTTTTCCCTTTCTTCTCGCGGAAGGAAGAACCGGAGTCGCGATCACTGTGATTTTCCGAGCTGCCAGGCACAGAAGAACGCGATTGTGGATCGTCAGCCCGAACGTTGGCCGATCTCACCGTAAGGGCGATTATCTCGTCACGTTAACGCTCAACAAGGTAGTGCCGCAAAACAAAGAATTTCGATCAACTCGCGCGACTCTTCCACCACTCCCCCCCGCCCCCGCGGGAACATAAACATCGCGCGGACCTGATCGCCGCCGGATAAATAATCTCGTCACTCGATATCTGCGCGTTGTATTTTTAAACGGCGGCGTCGCGCGACGTGTGTGTGAGAGAGAGAGAGAAAATCGCGCGTCGTCCGCGTCGAGGATCCTCCTCCCGTGGACGAACGGACGTGCGGACGGACGGCCGAGGAACAACGTACTACGTGACAGCCAGAGGAGTAGAGGCGCGCCAACGAAAAAATGCCGTCTCCGGTGAACTCGCGGCGATACCGGTAACGTCCGCGCGGGGACGTGTGCAGCCTCTCCCGGTCAGCGCGTTGTTTTCCTCGCGCGCGGCATTTCGGGGCCCCGCGTGAGAGGAAGAGGCGAGAGCGCCGCGCGATTGATTTCTCCTGCCGGTGGCGGAAGATGCGAGAGCACGCGAATTTGATCTCCTCTTTCTCGCCCTCTCGCTCTGCCGTCCGGACGCGGAGAGAAAGAGAGAGAGAGACTCGAGGAGAACGCCTGTCCGGGCACACACATATGCACGCGCACACACCCCGGCGAATAGAGAGACTCGAGCCTCGTAGGACGACGACGTACATTACCGGCACGTCGTCCACACGAGTTCTCCTTCCTCCTCCGATTTTCCTTTTTCTCTCTCTTTCTTTCTTTCTTTCTTCCTCCGCGTCCGTCCGTCCCTTCTGCGGGACGGTGCTGCTTCCCCCCCTCCCCCTTCACCGAATCCGCCTTTTATTCTCGCAATTCGCTCGCTCGCGCGGGGAGGCAGGAAACGGTGTTATCGTGTGCTCGATGTACCTCGTGTTCCTCGGTGTGTCCACGCCGTGTTTGCCGTCGGCGCGCGACGACTCTAGCTTCGCCGGGTCGACGGAGGGAAGTGAAGCGGAGGGGGAGAGCGGCGGGGAAAGAGACCGGCCCGCCGCGAGACTATTCCGGCGATCCCCTCGCGGGCTCAACGGCGCAGGATCTCCCCTCGCAACGAGGCTGCGACGGCCGCCCGGCTACGTACCGGGAGACGCGTGATGTACGGCTCGGCTGCTGTCTTGTTATTATCGTCGTCGAGCGCGGGAGAGGACGGGCGGCGCACGACGAGCAACGCGAGAAAGAGAGAGAGAGAGAGAGAACGGCTAACCCGCCGATGGTCTCGCGGCACGAAGCAACAACAACGCACCGGCGCGACGTCCTGACGGCGACGACGGGGACGAGAACCGCGAGCGACCAGTGCTTCCTCGTCTTCTCTCGTACTACGACGATCTCGGGCGCGTCAACGACACAACAGCGCGGACGAGGGCACCAACAAGGTAGTAGACAACCGATTTCGAATCGCCCTCGCGAAGTGTACGTGCCCGGAAACCCAGCGCTCCTCAGACCCACGTCCTCGTGTCGCGAGCATTCATCTCACTCTTTCATGTCCCGAAATCGCGATCGCGGCGTCCTTCTTCCCTCGGCAAGCGCCGAAGAAACGTGCGCATCTCTGCGTCGCCGGATGTTGACTCTGCCGCCGCGGCGGCGGACGCTGGCGAATCCGCCGCTTTCGCGCCCGTTGCGATTGGCGCCGCCGCACCGCATTCCCCTAGCGGCCTTCCCCTAGCGTTCTGCCGAGGCCTCATTGGTGACGGAACTCCCTAGCGCGTCGCTCGGCCGAACGGAGCGTCCAAGAGGGCGCGCCGATCGCCTCCGCGCGCCGACGTTCGAACGCCCCGATAACCGCGTCCCCGGATGTTCTCCGCACGTTGCGATTATTTTTCTCATCCTCCCGACCGCGTCCTCGCCTTTATCGGGGTGCGAATGAAGGAGGCGAAGCTGCGAGACTTGTAAACTTCTATTATTGGCTTGTCAATGCGCGATGCTCCGCGTGAGTTATCTTTATGACTGTTTATCTTCAAGTGTGTTTCAGTCATGCTTTGTCTTTCTTCGTACCTGAATTGTGTTAAGTATCAACTGTATTGTTTAACGAAATATTGCGAATTGATAGGTTGTCCGATAGTGACGGGTAATCTCCGATTGTAATTCGGAATCATATTTTACGCAAATGATATCTGCCTAACGAAGGCTGCTTTTTTTAAAATAAATTTGCATGCTTTGTCAAACTGCATCTCAAGATGACTCGCTGTAAAGATTTATATTTTACGCACGTAATGATTTATATTTTACGGGACGGTTGTTGAACATTTCGTTTGTTGCAGATGGTGGTTCGCGCAACCTTTGTCAACGCGGATACCGGAGTATCCTGTGTTGCGATCCGTCGCTCGTCAACATGCCATTGGAAAATGGAAACATCCGCTACGACGATCGATCGACCGAATGAATAATATCGGCGCAGGTCTACTCCAATGCTACATGTTTTGTCCATCGTAACTATGACTACAACTTAGCCGAGAGAAATCCGGCCGAACACCACTTAGGAGAAACGCTTAACGTAAGTGCGGGCTCACGATAACGCTGGGAGTGTTAAAAGTCACTTAATCAAAATGAACGACAAAGACGACAGTGCCTGGGTGTTCGACTCTCTGATTGGATTTCTGCAAGGTCCCATTTGGTCTTCGCCTCTGATGACCTTCATCGAGGAGAAGTCCCTCGGTTCGTACAGCGTCGTCGGGAATGTCATTACCTTCCAGTGCGACTCGCAGGGAGACTTTCAATTCTTCGCGCACTGGAATCTTTCAATTGTCGTTTTCTTGATATTAAATTGAGAAATCTCACGAAATCGTTGTTAACAACGAACGTTAAATTCGTATCACAGCGGGGACTGTAATTATCTGTTTAATGTGTTGCAGTTTTCGAGGCCAATACCGAAGATTGCGAGGAGTATCGCAAGATATACCAGGAATATAAAAATTTGGTCGACCTGTTGTTAGGATGCTTTATGGAGGACATGGGTATCACGCCGGAACAATTCGAGCATGCCTGCTCCGTTAACAGGGACACAAAAATTCCTATACAATTTCAACAAGTATGATCATCATCACATACCGGCAATATTCGAGATAAGATACGAGAAGATATATTTTTAAAAAGTTTTTTTTTCAGAGAGAGAGACACATTTTTCTCCTAAAATCAAACTTGAAAAGTTACGTTTGGTGTAAAGAAATCACTAACATGGAGAATGTGTCTTGCTTCAAATACTTTCACGGTTAAACGTTAGTTTTCGTAACAAAGTATGTTTATCTCGTATTTGTCTCGTAAAATTTAAGGAAATCGCATGATACTCGATGATGAGAACAAGAAAATAACTGTAGCATCGTGTAGTGCTTCGTGATTATCGCACAGCTCGGCTCTACTTCGACGCAATCACTTGCTTCTTCATTCGTTTCCACGCACGTTTTGCAGAATCTGTTCGAACAAATATGGGCCGCGAACGAGTACGAGATATTCAAAAGGATGATGATACAAAAGAACCTGGAGCTTCAATTGCAGGCGTTAAATATGATCGAACAGAAGTACGGTCTCACACCCGCTTCCCTCGTATACGAGACGGATAGCATGCATGACGATGAATTGGTCATGGAAGACTTGATACAGTATGTCTCATTACACGTAATAATACGGAATAATTTAAACGAAGAAGAATCGGAGAATATATCAAAACACTCGTAAAAAAATAAATAAAACGCAATTAATACGCCTGTCAAGCAGATTCACTCGAATTTATTTAAAAATGATTGATTTAACTCTTAGGGGATTAGTGGTTTCTCAGAAAGGTTGCAAAGGTCTTCTCAAATCCTCTTTATGCACGCAGCAAACACGTTCTGGAAGATCAGAGCGAGGAGGGGCCCGTTATATCTCCGGAAACATCGTTCGTCGCTGAACACGAGCGTTTGGCTGCCGAATACTACAACGAAAGAGCATTGTTGGAGGAAGCACTGAGGAAGTCACAAGACGCTTCCAGAAACGCCTCGGACGACGAGTCCGAGGAGATTCAATGTGCCTCCCACGAAAAAGAGCCGGTGGAAAAGTTTCGTCCGCTCAGGAGACTCGAGCCGCTTAATCCGATTCCGATTTCACAGAAAGAGTCCAACGAAAACGGGGTATTCGTTCTTAATTTACCTGCGCCCGCGTGATATCAAAGATGAGCGGACATTTAAAAATGATAATGTACGATATTTGAATAAAATATGTCGCATTGGACGGCAATTGCAGATGAGCGCGGAAGATATGAAGAAGAGGCAGGATTACTTGAAAGCCAGACGAGACAAACTCGTAGCTCTGAAGAAGGAAGCCAGGAGCCAGCAGCTGGAAATGAATAAAACTCGGCCGAGTTCGGCCAGAGTGGTGGCCGTGGCAACCATGAAGGGTCAGCAAGAACTGGAAGCAGCGCAAACGGTGGACCCTTCGTACTTGAAGTATCGAAGGGCTCTCGCAGCACGACTGAAAGCCGAAGTTGTACATAAGTAAACTCGATTGATCGGGCGTTGATTCGCTTTCTCGTGATATAATATAATAATGCTATAATCGTAGACATAAGTCTTAAACTGTGCATTCACAATATGTATAGAGGCCACGTTTGTATTCTTCTTCTTTTCTCCTTCGGGAAATGTGCAACGTGCGTAAAGCCACATGATCGTTTTAACATTTGCCTCGTTGCTTGAAAAATATCTTTATTTCTAAGTAATTCTATCATAAAAGGGTAGAGGGACATATAAAGCTAAAGTATATATATTCACTCGTATACCATCATTGTTTCTTATTCGGTATCTGCAGTTTCACGAAATTGCACTCAATAAAACGAAAGTACTGCATTTGTAACAGGTGTCTTCTCACTGCTCAGTCATCCTCGCGTAAGAATACGTTCGCGTAAATGTAAGGTATTCAGCGATAATGATTTTATCGTGCTCATACTCCTAATGAACGAAGTACGAACGAGTAAGCGTAAACTAATGCTCGGAAATTTGCAACTGAGTAGATCACGTTACATTGGATCGCAATTAAACGTGACGTAGTCTCATATTCGCGTCCAGAAAGTCAGAGAGTGAACGATCAAGGTAGGTTGGAACTTCGGCCAGTAACCCTCCCCCACCATACCAGTATATTCGTCTAATTTTAGATTTTATTTAATTAAATACTCTTCGCACTTCTCTACAACACACCGGTATTTCAGTGTAACACACATTTATCATTCTCACTTCTTGGCGGTCTACTTTCTAACGGATGAGATGGATTCATAGCATAATACCAGCAATAAGTACGCTTATGTATAAATCTCTAATTTGTGATTATTATTTAATTAGTCACTAACACGTGTGTATCTTTAATATAGAATGAAGGAAATCAATAGTCACCTCTCTGTAGCACGTAAAACAAATTTCAGCCGTAGTTACGCAGTATTTTTATTAACTTTAGAAATATGTGTTATGCAGCGTGCAATTTAACAACATAAATCTCAATTTTTCCCGTCGTTCCGGAAATCGATCTTCTAGCTGTCCAATTACCACAACAACCAATACAAGATTAGAATTTATTAGTTCGTTAATTGTTTATAGTTAATTACTCATTCATAGCTAATCGTCCATTAATCAATTACAATTAGAATCCAATAATACGTAAGGTACACAAAAAAATTCGTAAAAGTTAAGCAACTTTCTTTACAGTAGAGTTGCTTGTTTTGTGCTATGAATCCTGCGTGTAGGTGTCAGTCCTGTCGTCAGATTGATCTTTCATTCATCAGTAGAATAAAATGCAAAATATCGTTTCTCAATTCATTCAGTTATTACCATAATACACACAAAATTGTATATTTTATGCTTGCTTACTCTCTCTCTCTCTCTCTCTCTCTCTCTCTCTCATAATTCACAGAATTCACGAATAGCATTCTCATATAAAAAGGTCTCTTTTTCTGTGCATATGTATATATATATATATATTTATATATATATGTCTGTATATATATATACTCTCAAAGAAAAAGTTTCTTATTCTGTCATTACATAATTAAAACGCATACTATTATTATTAGCACGTGATATTGTACAATGTGTGCAAGTCCGTTTTCTTCCTTTAATATTACATCGATGTGACGGTTGAAAAATGTATGCTTGCGATCTCGGCGACGGTTTTGAGGCAGAATGTTTTAGACTGTTGTTACGCTATGCATGAAACTTTGTCATATCAAATGTTATATTTAACAGAAGGCACGTGATAAAACCGTGTCTTCGTGGCAGCCAATGAATGCATGATGATATCAATTTTCATCTACTTGTAAATCAAGAGAAGATTTTTATCTCATATTCAATCCTCTAAAATCTCGAATTGGAGAATGTATTTGGCTTATTGCGTTACCATCTTTAGAATTTGGTACAATACATACCACATTTCGTCAATATTCTTAATGTAGATGTTTAATATAAAACTTGAGATGAAGATGTGTATGTGTGTGTGTGTCAAATGATAATTTGAAATGCTTGATCAATGATAAGATAGACGAAAAGAGAACTTGGTCTAAAACACTCTGTATGTACGAATGTATATATGCATTAAATATCGCAATTTGAATAGCACGTGACCGCATTTTTACTCTCTAATATCACTTAGATATTAATTCATTTGCTCCTTTTCTCTTCTTTTTTTTTTTGTTCTTTTTACATACATTCTTTGCACCCAATGTAGCATTCTAGGCTTAATATTTGTTCTTTATTATCGAATAAATTGTAGATATATGTAAAACACATGAAGAAGAACAACATTACTCAGCGTCATCTTACTTAACTAATTAGCGTTAGCCTTTGTTACATTTTCCTCTCTTTCCTCTCCAGTAATCAGTCCAGGTTGCACAACATTTTATGTACACGTATCACTCAGCTCCAGCGAATTTGCCTACTTAAGACTTTATTCACAGTTTGCTCATCTCGATGGCTGAATTAACTTCTAAATTCTCTTTCAGTATCATAAGTTAATATATATGTATATGTGTACATGTATGTGTATTCCACGGCATCATTCCAAGCATACGTACTTACAATTCTAAAGCAGTCTTGGAAATTCTTTCGGGTATTAGGCATGTCGGGAATTCTGTACATTAGCTTATAACACTTTTGTTATAAAGTTAACGCAATCATAAAGTAAAGTGTAAAAGCGGATTCGGTTATTCGTCGGGCAGCGTGCTACATGAATTATATAGCGATAATAAATGCGAGAATCAGATTCACACCGTCGTCAGTTTCGTCGGTTGCCCTTGTGGTTTAAGGAAGTAGACACTCTTTTCTGGAGCTGATTCGGGCAGATGAATTTGAATTTTTCTGATATGCATACCGCAAAGTTAAATTTAAACTGTAATAAAGCAATCGCGCGTATCTAAGAAAAATATTCCCCTACAAATTAGAATAGCTCATTGAGTCTAGCACAAATTAAGATTCGTATATTGCGTCTTGACGTTGTTTTTCTTTTTAGCAGATATATATATATATATATATATATATATATA